TTTTTTTTTTTTTTTGTTGTTGTTTTTTTTCATTAAAACATGTCCGAATCACAGGCTGATTTTCTGCAATAAATCTCACAAAGATCCACTTCTCTCAAGCAGCAGTGTAAAAAAAAAAAAACCAAAAAAAAAAAAACCTAAAACTCATAAGTTGCTGGCCAGATAGGCACTGATGAGTGCAAGGGGGGACGACCCGGTCTACAACTTAATGTCACATCTGTTCCTAACCTGGCGCCGTGCATCCAAACTAACTAGAGGGACTATTTTGGCAAACTCGAGATTAACACCAGATATTGATCAAACTTGACACCATTGCTCCGTTTCCCCCTCGAAATGGGCCGCAGGAGGTCCACTTTAAAAAGTATTGTGTTACTTCCATCAAAGATGACCAAAACATCTTTTTCCTTGGCTTATAGCGAAGGTCTGCAACCTGTGGCTCATTAGCGCCACCCTAGTGGCTCCCTGGAGCTTTTTCAAATGTGTTTGAAAATGAGGGCGGGGGGGAGGGGGGGGCAGCTTATGGCCATCAAAAGCGGGCCAAAAAATGTGATTGCTGCGCCTTGGCAGAGGGTGATGCTCTACTCTAGGAAACAATTGCGAAGGGAAACGGCAAACACGGAAGTGAAGATGGGACCCCATTCCAGACCCGTGCTTCAAATGGCTGCATCCCGTGAGGCCGCTGGCACTGAAAATTTAAAGTGAACTGATATGAAAACAAGCCTGTTCCCATTATCGGGTGTAAAATAGCAAAACTGCCAAATTTCATGACTCCAAAGCCTAGAAGGGAGGGTGGGGGGAGTCGAGGAACATGAGAAGCTACTCTTATCCCATCAAGAAAACATGGCGGTTTTATAATCGGGGGAGGGGGGGGGACGCTGTGGCGGACTTTAAAAGGTACTTACAGGCAAAGTAGCAGGAGAGCAGGAACACGGCGGAGAAGATGACCAGGAAGGTGATGTCCGTCTCCAGGATCCCTGAGGACCACAAATAGAAGCGGCGATGTGGGAAGAACACGCCAACGCGGTCGATAGCGCCCGCTCCTCTCACTTCGTCAGTCATCATTAATCCATCCGTTACGCTCATTTGTCAACTTCACTCTGCTTTATTGGCCGCGCTTAAGTCGGCAATTTCTCACGTAATTGTTTCTCTCTCCCTACTAGACATGTTGGATGCCACTTTTTTTTTCCCCCAGGCCGATACCTGTAGGAGTCTTCACGAGAGTACTGACTGATACCGAGATGGAGTTTGCTCAGATTACGAGAAAAAAAAAACATTTTTCTTTCCCTTTGACTGTTTATTTATAATTAATCACAGAGATCAATAAATCCAGTTGAGGCTGAAAATTGTTTGCGGATGTTTTCCTGAACCACGGTGAGAAACTATAATACAATATTGGCACATACAAGTATAAAAGACGCTTTGTATATCGGGTTCTTTATGTATCAGTGGTTGGGATCAGTCTTTTTGACGAGTAGCCGATCCATTGCAATAAGGCTAGTAGTTTCCAGCATTCTTACCGAATTCATCGGCGGAGAAGTGCTGCGTCCAGAAAGACTGCCCGTTGGTCAGTTTCATCTCGTACTCCAACTGAAGGCCGTCGCCCTGTGGGATGCCCAGACAGCCACATTTCACAAGCACCTTGTTAAAAAGCCAGGAGGCTTTATTTACTCGACTTCAGACGCCTTACCCATTTTTTTTTTTTTTTATGGGGTTTTACATGACCTTATTAAAACGCAATTTTATGGTCTTCATTGGAGGCGACACGAAAAGCAGGAACGCAGAAGCTGCCGTCTGCCACTGCTCACACCCAGAAACTCGCATGCAGACTCACCGACTTCACTTCAAAGAAAAGTTTCCAAATCAGGATTCAGGTTTCAAGTTAGTCTTTTTGATGACGATTTTAAGGCCAGCGTGACAGTTTGAAACCGTTTCAAACAAGGGTTGTCCTCAAAAGGAGGGATAAATTGTCAATCGAGAGTTTTAAATTAGGGTTACAGTAATAATTGTTTATTTTATGAGAGGAATATTGTATTAGAGAAGACGTTGTCTGTTTCAAGGAAGGACCGTCTTTTGGGGGAAAAAAAACTAACAAAAAACACGTTTCCTCCGGCAGCCCTCCCCAACCGACCCCCCCCCCCCTCACACACACACACCCCCTTCCCATGAGTTTCAGCAAGCAGAGATACAACATCAAAAAGAAAAATGTCCCGATCAGCGAGGCAGACCCCCGGGCTCTCCGATTCATCGCCAAACGTGTCAGGTTTTGTCACACCGGATTCAAATTCTAATTTTAGAGGTGAGAATTCCTGGCGCCGAGAAGATGAGGCAACCACCGCGCCTTCAAGAGCTCCGCGTGACAGCACCATGTTTTTTTTATGTTTATATTTTCATGTCATGAGGAAGGTAGCGGAGAAGACAAGAAAAGACCGCTGCCAGGTAAAGGGAGACGTGAAGACAGGACGTGGGAAGATGACATGGGTCAAAACCACGGCAACCGTTTCCACTGATGTCATGACGATGGAAAGATTGAGGAAGGGGGGGAAAAAAAGTGGAGGAGGCGGAGCTTCACTGCAGGCCCCTCCTCTACTCTTGTTGGAATAAATCCACACTTCAGCAGATGATGGCGAGGTTGCCGTGAAGGCCTTTGCCCACTGGCGAGCTCGAGTCACACTCGAGTGTGAAATTTTACCACTCCACTGCCTCAAACGAAGCCCATTAGACAGGGTAAAGGTTTTAACGTGTTTGAAACTAGGGGAAGGCTTTCCAGTTCGGGTTACGGTTTCAATCTCGTGTTTAAAATTGGACTCCGAGGAAGGGACAGAGATTCAATTGAAACTTTGAAGTTGTAATTTGAGGTTACAGTGTTAATTTAGGTTTCAATCTGGTGTTCCAAATTACATTTAGTGTTGCAAATTCTTGCTTCCAGACATGGTTAAGGTTTCAAATTGTTTGAAATTAGGTGTAGGGTTTTTAAATGAATGTCTCAAGGCAGGGTCGGGGTTTCAGGTTGGGATTATGATGTTAATCCGGTAAGGAAGATTTGAGGGCTTCAGGGCAGAGGTTGAGTTTAAGGCAAGGGTTAGGGTTTCAAATACTAACTCATCTAGTGTTTGAAATTATGATTCAGGTTTCCAGTTAGAGGTGTAAAATGCGGTTAGGGTTTCGGGGTTAAGGTATCAAGAGAGTGTTTCAAATTAGGGTTGAAAGGGGGGTTCAACCCAGCGGGAAGGTTCCAAGTTTGAGTAAAGGTTTCAATGTCATGTTCATGAAATTAGGGTTTGGCGTTTGAATCGGGGTTCCAAGGCAGGATCATTTTTAGGGTTTGATGTTGGGGTTAGGGTTTCAAGGTCTGATTTCAATTGAAAGGAAACATTTTGAATTTGATCTTACGGGAACTTTCATTTCCTCAAATCATATCTGCGCCGCAATTACTTGGGTTTCAAAACTGGGTTTGAAACCAGAGTTACGGCTTTAAATTCGGCATTGATGCCATAGTTCAGATCTCAAGTTATTGTTTTTAGATTTGGGTTTCAAGGCTGGGTTATGATTTCCATGGAGGGTTAGGGTTTCAAATTAAGGTTTCAAAGCAGTGATGGGGCTTCAAATCAGTTCCCGTAGGAAATTGACTACGGGTATGTATTTCCTCAACTAATAGGCGTGGCCCAATTCGTCGCTGAGTAGACTTTTGAAAATATGGTTTCAAGACGGAATTCAAGTTTCAACTCAGCGTTGGGTTTCAAGTTGAGTGCCTCCTCCTCTCAAATGGGCTTCCTTTTCTGCTGGAAAAAAAAAACAAACAAATTGCCAAGCAGACAATTTGCCGCGGCCGGTTGATGACAGCCAATCAAACGCATCCGTCAGCTGGCCCGCATAAACACAAACTTGCTCGATTTCATCAGAACCTCAAAGCCAACTTTGAGTCGGACTTCTAACGATGTCATCATCCGGCACTTGATGGACTGACGGCCAGCCGCTGCCGCCGTCGTCGTCCATCAAGCGGAAAGTTAACTGATGATCAGCGGCCCCGTTGGAGCGTTTTGCTGCAATCATCCATCTTCCCGTCGCTAATGGAGCCGCGCACGCAACTTGGAAGAACAAACAACGAGAGGAAACGCTGTTGCCGAGTAAATAAGGGGCAGTGTTAAGATGCTGTTGACAGTTTAGGTTCGGAAGAGAATGGCCGAAGAATCGTGAGCGACAGTGAGATATTATTTAATTATTTATTTATGTATGTTAAGGCAAAAGAATATGGGGACTCTGGCCGGCGGGGTGGGAGTGTATCTTTTAAATTGTGAGTCCACGAGCGTTAAGCGGTGTGTCCATTAGGCGAGCCCGGCGTGACACTGAACGCCGCTCTGCTGGAAGCATCCATTCTCATCACATCACTGCCTCCATCTGCACCAAAACAAACAAGGAGACTCGCAAACGCCGACGGAATGACAAGCAGGCCAAAGCGCACGAGCTGGAATCAAACCCACAGCCCCGCTTGGAAACGGGAGCGCTCCGTGCTCTGCCGCGGGTGATTGACAATCACGCGATGGCATCATAAGGTTTGCTGCGGGAAATGGTCCAATTGTAATAATTTGCTCCGAAAATTATTTGCCGAGGGGTGTGTCAGAAAAGTGCCGGGACTGGCGTTGTTTTTCAAGATACGAGCAGTCATTCAGTTGATTTTTTTTTTTTCTTTGACTTGAGAGTGCAAGCTTAAGATAAGAGCACTGCCGGCATACTGGCAGGCGACTCAAACTGAAAATAAGCAGCAGTTTGGCTAAAAATAAACAACTCATCAAATAGGAGGCTACAAGTTATTGACTGCGACTCCCACTTGAACTTGTACGGTCAAACAAAACCTAAAATGAAGCGTATGACACACGGTACGTAATTAAAAAAAAAAAAAAACTCAATGAGGTGGCCTTAAAAACAGCCCACTCGCTATTGCCGTGGTAACAGTTAGCATTAATAGTTACGTGTTAATCTTTTAAGCAGTGAACATTTGAAAACAAATAGTGGAACAGCACATGTAGACTGACAATACAATATTCACGGGCACATATTCTTTATCCTCTACAAAAATTGACAATAATTACAGAAACTTACAGAGTAAGAAGTCGAGTCTCCTTCATTTGCATCGACATGACTAACCTACAGTACTGGCTGCCAGTGGCCATAACAAATTGGGTTGCAGCATTACATCATGAGCCACAAACTGTTGAAAGCTTTACATTCTCTTTAATTATGTTCTTACAATATTGGAGAGTACCATTTCTCCTTTTTAAAGAACAAAGAAGTGCTCTTTGGAGTAGGACGCGGCAGTAGATTGACATTTCCATCTTTGTGGAATGATTTCGGAATACGAGTGTTTTGAGTGGTCACGGAGCAAATGAGACTCCTATTTCAAGGCACTACTGTATTTGAAACCCAAACCACAAATATGTTTTCCCCATTCAATCTGGACAATTGACTTCATATAGAAGACGCGGCAGGAATCGCCTGCTCACAACGTCCTGAGCATCTGACACTTCCTGGCTGAGACGAACATCCCATCACGGGATGACGCGTATTTCCTTGAACAGTCGCCGTCGTCATTTTTGTGTTGATAGCCACGGAACCGAAATACCGCTATCCTTGTCTTGCTAATGTCTTGAATCCATTACGAATCCTGCTAAAAATGCAACACGCTGGGTGACGCCTGCTCTGCTGCGGCGTCGCCCGCCATTCGGTCTTTTAAGCTCGCGCGGGTTGCATTCGAATAACAGCAAACTTGCAACCTGCGAGTTTCCGAGTTGGTGACGGCCAGAGTTCAAGAACATTATTATAAGGAGGTTTGACCCAGTTCCAAATGATGTGTTGTGCAAAAACACAGACGCGGCGAGGCTAAATTTAAGCCGACGTGGATTGAAACTCCACATCGAGCCAGCACAAAAATCGTCCTGGAAACATGCAGTGAATCACATGGGCCTCCTCGGGGGAGGTGCGCCGGCTGTATTTTTTTGCCTCGCCGTTGCTTACTCCATAAATAGACACTGCAGAGCATATTATTCAAATTGCCAAACTGGTTCACTTGTGCGACTCGTGGGTTTGAGCTATGATTTCTTGATGCCCTGACGAAAAAAGAGAAATAGAGGACAACGCCAAATGCCCACCCACTGGGCATCATCCAGTTTTTGATGATACTGCAGATGAACATATTCCATAAAAGTTGGTGAAAGTCAGCTAAAATGATTTGGTTGACTAACTTTTGAACCGACTTAGAAACTACGAGGGTGTGGGAATGGCACATCTTCATCAAAATAGAAGCAAGAGATAACATTTTTGGTCCACGTGGAGATCACGGACCGCTTCAAACATGCTAAATTTGAGCACGAGCTGAAGAACACTGCTCCCAGTGTTCTGTGCACCCAAAAAAAAAACCAAAAAAAAAAAAAAAAAAAACATCAGGATACAATACTTGGAATATTATTTGTGGTCCAATGCCAAATCATTTTGAGAACTTTCCGCCGAAAGATACATTCTATCTGAGCAGCAACAACAAAACGGAGCAACGCTGCAGGAAAAAAGTGACGGTGTCATCCAACGGCGACGACAATGAATCAAATTTTCCAGGTGTAAAAAAAAAAAACATTCAAATTCAGTATTCAAAGGAATATTTGATGCATGCCATGTTAAGTTTGAACAATATGTTAGGTTTAATACATGTTGTACATTTGAAATGACTTTAACGGTTTAACATATAAAACTTCTCAACAAATAATAAAAAACTCAAAGCGACTCCCTGAAAAACTATAAACATTTTTGACTAATGTGTGACTGTCGCTTGGGCTTCTTCCTCATCTATACAGTACTCTATAGCTGCACCGTTATACTGCCCCCTGGTGGCAAGCACAGCATTTGCACTCATTTCAATGTGGAAAAACAACTTGAGATTCGCGTTTTGATTTACAACTGTTTCACCGGCAAATTAAATTCCGAAATCAAGGAACCACCGCAGTAAGGATACGCTGACAATTTGAGAACTTGTTTATGCGTAATCAAACATGGGGTGCCGCAGGGGAAGACCACTTACCCCGCATTTGCTGAGTGCGATGTACCACCACCTCTCCCTCACTGAGCGGAAACTGCGGCCGCCAACGCAGCTCAGCACCTCCTCGCCATCGTCGCCCTCCACCTGCCAGGGATGGCGGAGAAAGCGAGAGAGAACACTGTCATGAGCCAGATGGGACTTATGCTGATTTCATCGCGGGAAGGTGAAAGTGGGATGATGCGAACATATTTCACAATCAAAAATAGTCTGAAATGTGGCACACGCGCCACAAAGATCTGTCACGCTGGATACATTTCCCAATGTGATAAAAAAATAATAATTACTATCTGCTGGTTATTGGAGTAAGATAAATGCTTTTTTGGGGGAAAAAAATGGCTGACATGGAGGCAACGTACTTGGAATGCTACTTTCCCGCTGCATTGCTTGATGTTAGTAGGGTATACACACACACACACACATACACACACACACACACACACACACACACACACACACACACACACACACACACACTTTTTTGGCTAGTGAATTGAAACGACGCCATTTAGAATACATAACAGGAGGCCCACAAAATATAACGTCAACGTGCGTGGGTGTCTTACCACACATCCCGACCAAGTGTAGCGGGTGGTGAGGTTGATGACCTGGTTGTTCTCGGGCCTCAGCACCGCCTCCTTCTGGTAGCAGTTCTGACGCAGATGAGTCAACAAAAGATTCATCAGCATTTGCATCATCACATCCGCCCGTCAGCATGACAGTACAGTGGTACGATGAACGGTGACATAGCGGGGAAACTGTAATACATATTCATTGTATCTTCCCGCCCTCATGATATGGATTTTATACATGTGATGGCAGAAACTTGATGATTACATTACACTGGAAGACAAATTATACTGTTTTTATGGTACCCACCCACACACACACGCTTGTTGTCATATTAATTGTCTTTTTAATCATCTCTTTACACTTTATGAGCATGCCCACTCATGTTGCACAGCAGCAATATGACAATGTTTTATGAGGCCAGCCGATGATGTGTTGCAGTCTGTATTAATAGCATTATTGATTTGGTCGCAGGAAAGAAAAAAAAAAAAAAAGGATAAAATGCCTCCACATCACAGGCGTGGATCAATATGATATAAGCGGCTATAATTGAAAAATGTCAACGCTGGCGAGAGGGAACAGCTTTACTTGAAATCTGTGCTGCATGTTATTGTGACTTGCCAGAGGGGAAACAAAGAATATGACAATTGAAGGAAAAAAAAAAAAAGGTCCAGAGACTTTGGATTTTAAAAATAAGAAAACTAATTATGATTGTATTTTACATGACGAAATTAAATCAAGTTGAGGAAATTGTATTTATTATTCATATTAATTAATTGCATATATTCCAACTTTCACACAGGCATTTAAAAAAAAAAAAGTTAAGCTCTGGAAAATAAAAAGTAGTCGTGGTAAAACAGTTGAGCCCTTGAACATTCTTGACAAACTGCATACATGGGGACAATTTGAGGCCTATTTTTCTCTAAATTGTGTGCGACTTTTGACCTGTGTTCCATCGTATCCACATGCTTTTATCTTTCATTCCAATAAGTGATTATTGAATGGCGGTGTCAGAGGGGGCTCACCTTTTCGGGCCTCTTGTACACAGCCGGCCACTGGGAAGCATCGTCAAAGTAGAGTAATATGTTCTGACAGCAGCGAGACTGCACAGAGAGACAGAAGGGAGGGTTGGAAAACGGAAAAAATGGTGGCGTTAAGAGGCGAGGCGAGTGAGCGATGCGCGCGGATCAAAGAGGAGGCAGCCGGAGATTGCAATGACAAAACGTGCCCCCCCGCGCACCGCCGCCAAGGCTGCAGGGCTAAATCGAGACGAGAAGTGAAGGCTAAGCAGACTGGAGGAAGACGAGGGTGGCAAGGAAGAAGAGGAAGCCTGAGGGAAGGAGGAAGGAAGAGATCACTTGAGCGAGATCAGGCCCTCGTCACACAACTCCCATACTACAAACTAGCGAGAAAACTCGTGAAAAGTTTCTTTTGGGGATCGCTCCCTTTTCCACCACAAACTATGGACAGTAAAACTGATAGGGTGGGTTCACCATTTTGTGGTGCTGTTCGACTTTGTTGCGGGGTGTCGAGAGAACGGCAATCTATTCCATAATACGTTGTCACAACACAGAAAGAGAAACGCATCGCAACACGGATAGACATGCAGTAATGTGAATTGTATTAATTGTATAAAATTAGGGTTGTCACTCTTTCCTTTAAATTATTTTCCGGCACTTTTACATCTGCTGCAGCACGATTCAAGTTATCCCAACATACACATATAAATCCTGCCTCCAAGTTTTGCTGTTATTTTCTACAATTGCGCCTTATATTTTGCACATTTAACCGGATTGTTTCAACGTTGCCTAATACCATAACACCAAATTGGGGGGAAAGCAAAGAAAAAAAAAAACCATCTGACTCACAGCTTGTGAATCAATTCCTATCCTTCACCCCAAAACGTCACAACACGAATATAAGTTTGCATTTGCAGCCGGGTTGACTAGCTCATGTGATAAACACGAGCTAAGAACTGCATGAAAAGTCGGAGCTCCGCAACAGAAGAGAGGAGGAAAAATTATGCGGCGCTAAAGCAAGACTCGTGAACTGAAAGGCGCCAGGTTTGGCACTTGGGAGAAAATAAATCCTTACGTAGGTCTCAGCTAAATCTAGCAACAAAGTCACATGGAAACACTGGGCCGTAGAACTGTGCCGAGGGAATATGCAATTCGATTAGTGCGGAGCGCCACATGAGGCTGGAAGCGTGGCAGGGAGCAGAAAAGCGTTACAGCGCAATGTTGCCCATTGAAGGCAGCTGAAAACAGACACAGGACAACAAGCGCGACAAACTATTATACATATATTAAAGCGCGATAGCTTGTGGTGCGCTTGAAACTAGTAGCGACTTGATTTTAAGGGCGGTGAGAGGATAAATCCCAGTTGCTGACTTCCAGTGTGAGAGTGACATGGAAGCAAGCACACACACATGCACACACACAAGCAGTGCGGTCATCTTACCTTGGGGTAACGGAACCGGAAGTCAAGACGTCCAAAATCGGTGAGGAAGCAGAAGCGAGTGAGGAAAACCCAGTCCTATGATGGCGACAAAAACAAGATGCACATTAACGAAGGACGTGACAAACAAAATGAATATACAGTGATCCCTCACTAGATCGTGTTTCATTTATCGCATTTTTTTTTCCTTCCCAAATGTACTATATTCAGAAAAAAATGCCAAATGACTCAGAATTTTTCTGTACATGGATGTAAGCATGATTGGATCCCGGCGCGACGTCGACCAATGACAGCACGAGTGGATTTATCCCGTGAGACGATTGGCTGTGCGTCTTCGCAGCCCCGCCCAGCACCTTCCCTTGTGTCTCATCACATGGTGCTTACTAATTACAACCTTTTTCCGTTCCTCCGATGAGTTGGTCAGAGCAAAACTTTTGGTTTCTATAAAGTCGGGTGCGTCTGCACTGAAAACTCCGGTACCGAATGCAAAGACTTTCTACAAAGTACAAGTATAGTATTTGAAAGTCAAAAGTTTTGACATGATTTCTCACGTAACACAATGAGGAGTATTCAAAATTTCATCTCATCTCATTACGCAGAAAAGGTCGACTTGAGCGCAAGGGGGAAAAAAAAAAACGCAGAACAAAAAAAAAAAAAACAATCACTTTGAGATGAGATCCCTCTCATCCGGAGATTTAACATCAAACCCTCCTCTGAGTTCCCAACATCGCGCACAGTTGTGACTGGACACAGAAAGTGGGCCTCCTGCAGGCTCCGACATGCTTCTCCTTTGCACTTATTAAAAAGTGGCCTGAAGGCTGGCTGCTATGAACTCTCCAGCCAGAGCTGGGAGGAGGAAAAAAAAAAATGTCGCCGTGCAGTATTATCGAATAATGACCTGTCCCTGCTACATCAACAAGACTTGTAATTCCACTGCTGAGAACTAAAAGCAGGCTAAGAGTCGCCAGTTTTCGCCGCCATACATCCACTTGCTCAAAGGCGCAGGAGTAATTCAGCCGCTGTCTGCCAGCTAACCGGCAATGGGCCCCGGGAACCTTCGCTGTGTAACTCAGTGGATGCCAAGCCGCCCCCCCCCCCACACACACACACACACACCCTGTCCCCCATGGGTCTATGACAACCGAGGTGGATCTCTTTGAAGTGGACGATGGGGCCGGCATGGGTCCCTCGCCGCCGTGACGACGGCGGCATGCCTTCGGCCCCGCGGCTGCCATAGACACGGCAAACAAAAAAGGCAGACGCGGTCATTAAGGACAAGCGGGCTTTTTTTGTTTGGCCGATCGCTTATTCGCGCGTTCGTCTTTCACCTCTGCGCCTCAATCACGCCGGCGGCCATTGTGGCTGACGTTGAGCAATAAACTGAAGAGCGCTTAAATGGCTTGACTTCCGTTTGCCTTTCCTTCAGTCTGAAAACGTGCACCCACACACACACACACACACGCACAGTAGGATGCTGAAGACATTTTTAATCTTTTAAAGTAGGCATAGTACAAAAATAAAGTTGGGATGTTCCAAGAATAATGACTTAATTTGACATTCTTGCGATAATTAGGTATTAGCTATTACGAAAATAAAGTCATCATGTTATAACAGCAAAGTCATACCAATACGAAGAATCAAGTTTTGGGAACTGTTCCCCCCCACCGGGGAGCTGACCGACAGGCATTTTTTCAGGCCGATACTGATTCCGAAATTCTGCTAACTGATTCATCCCAAAAATATACCATTAAAAAAATAGCTTCATTTTGGGTCACTTAATGCTAGCAACAATACAGACAGACGGACCATTTGACTATTTTACACTACTTGATGGTTTAATATTTGTTTCACTACAAGACAGAACATCCAGCAAAGTTGTCATATGTTGTGATGTGAATTTCACTGGTCAGCGAATTTTCATCAGACGTCTTTATATGCCCACAATGAGGATGATGAAAAATTAATTTAGAAAAAATACATTTGCTTTATCTCTGAAAAAGAGCTAATAGAAGCTGAATAATCGGTGGGGGGCTAATTTTTCCCCAATGGCAAAATCCAACACTTAAAAAGTTTCATAAATTGTAACTCAGGACAACAAAGAGGTTGTGAATTGGAACGAAACAAGAGTAAAATTCTATTTTGACAAAAATAAAGTCGCACTGATATGAGAATAAAGCCAGGATACCAAAATTTGTCAATATTTTTCAACAATTCGCTCAAAACAGTCGTCATCGGAGAACGGAATTAAAAGAAAACGTCGACTGCACGTTGCCTCCCATAAATGGTCGGCACGCCACCATTTAAAATTTTTTTATCGTTTTCTTTTTTCCTTTAACCTCTGGCAGGCCATTAATCAGGCACAAGCCTTCGATGCTGCATCCAGCCGATTTTGCACGATTTCGTTTTGCCGCTTTTTCTTCCTGGCAATCTGTCCTTTCATCTGCATGCATTCTCTCCAAACGCCCGTTTGCCTGCTACGCCTCATTAACAATTAATTACCAATCAGCTCGTGGAGTCACCCCCGGACCGCCGGGCGCTCAATGATTCATTAGTTAGGGATACACACAACGCGTCAACACACACACACACACACACACACACACACACACTGAAGGCAACAGATGGACACATGAAAGCAGTTCGCCTTGAACGAACACACACACACACACACACATACACACACACACACACACACACACACACACGAGAGAGAGAGCGACTTATCATAACACACTCATTAAAAAAATAAAATAAAAAAATAAAAAGATGCACTGGCTTGGATTGTGTCCACTTTGATGACAACATGAAGGGTTTTCGGCACGGTCCAAAGCACGTCGGCAGGATTTGGGATTTGAGACAGGCAGTATTTTGAAGGTAGGAAATGACGCTAATGAAGTGTGCCAGTCCCCCCCCACCCCTTTTTTTTTTGCATCCGTTTTTTTCGCTTCTCCTCGTTAGTCAGTTACGGCTGATTTTGGGCGAGAGGCGAGGAGATTGGGCCCATCCGATCAAGTGACTGGAAATCGGTGGCGATCACGTGATCTTTAGGGTGATCGGTATCATCTGAAAAAGGTCGGATTATTCCATTTTCTTAATTTCTTCCTTCAAGAATAGAACATTTTATTGACCTGATTTTCACCACTGGTGATTTCACGCCCTTTAACCCTTTCATGCACCAATAAATGATCACCTGTAACCTGATAACATGATAAGCTGTCCACTGTAGTAACCGCTGTCCCCGAAAGGGTTCAAAAAAGGTGTCAAGCTGGGATACCTTTACTCCAGACAAATTGGAAGTGCTTTTTTCTTCTTCTTCTGAATGTATTGCTGTGATATCAGATAAGGAATCAAAGGGGGGGAATGAGGACCTCTGTAGTTTTAGTATTTGTTTTAAGCAGGTTATTTGCTGTGCTGGTGAGAAAAATGTCACAGCGATTATTGTGTAGTAAACAACAACAAAAGATTTTCATTTTAAAAAGGGTATTAATCGGACCGGGTATTGATTCAGACGTAGCAATATTTCAAATTCAATTTTTAAAAACACATGTTGACTGCCTTTTTAAAGTTGTTTACTCGCAACAAAAGTCTTCTCAACTCGGGATGGCTCGATACTACTTTTACATATCAAAAATGAAAATTCCTGGCAGAAAGCAAAAATACGGGAACTGAGAGCGACCCCAAAAGCTCACGAAAGCGTGGCTTGCGGCGATACAAAGATGAGAAGCCCCCCCATCTCATCTGATCTTGGAACGAGGCCACAGACCCGCGGGCCTCCACATGAGGACCCCTGGTGTCGCAAAGCAAGTGCAGCTTCTACAAGTTCAAGCACTTTTACTGTTTTAACACTCACTTTACCGCGCCAAGTCTGGGGTCTGCTTCCACAACTGATGGCGAGCAGCGTGTTGTCAGCACTCTTAAAAAGTTTGGGGTCGCGTCTCGCAGCCAAGATGTTCCTCACCCTCGCGACCGCCGCTCCAAAGGGACGTTTGAGCGCACACCGGCAGCCACTTAGGCTGATTGTCGGCATCGACCAGGCCCGGCCGCTTAAAGCCCACTCGGCTGTGGCCATGCCTTTGGATTAACTTTGTGTCTGCCTCTCTCGGCCTTTCCCTGATGTCCAGAACAAAGTCACGTGACGGCGCTGCACAGCGTGGAGGGATGGCAGCGCTGATGTTCCAATGACCAGTGTCATTGTGACCTTGGGGCAGCACATCGCGCAGTGCCGCCTGGTGGTGTTGACATTGCTCTCTCTGTTGTGCTTGGCTTGCCAAATGATCTGCGATGCATTTAGGGCCCGCCTGGGAAGAAAAAGACTCCAAATGGAAGTGTAACTGAGCGATCCAAACGCAACTGCGACTGGTTGAGGATCTTTCACACAAGCGCAGGATCAACAATCCTACAGTCAAGCCCCTTCTTGTTCCAGAACCACAGACGAGAGGTGAAAATCCACAATAAAGACCTTACAGATACCTTCAAAAGGCCAGTATCGGCCCGATATCAATACCTGGTATCGGTATTCGGCCATCCCTAGTGTTAAACAGTGGGGTGTAACAAAAACCATTCTGAATCGGAAAATCGGTTTGGATTCAAAAGATGCGAGTGCATTGAATCGTTCCACTTGAAATTATTTCTAGAGACGTATCGTATCGTCTTTTATATCGGAGAGACGTCTGAAGGACATTTACAGCCCTGACAAGGTCGTTAATGTGCATGCAAAAATAGCAACAAGAAATTCATTGCTCATGACCTCTCGAACGGCACCGTAAGAGCACTGAATCGGACCGAATCGAATTGCTCCACAAAATCGAACCATCCTTGAATCGTACGTTCTGTTATCTCTCACGTTACTGTATTTCGGCAGTTCATGATGTCTCAACCCAGCGTTCGCCCCCTGGTGGTTGGCTGACTTGTGGTGTAGAAAGTGCTTGATGAGTGTCTGTAGCATTAACGACAGCAACGTCAACACACGGCGCTATCAGTCCTAGCTAAAGTGCCGTGTCCATTATAGTTGCCGGAGCATCTTTACAGAATGCTGCGTTCAAGGACACGGCGCCAGTGCTGATAGATGAGCGCAGCCCGCCAATCAGCCCATCCATCCACTGCGGGGTGCGCCATCGTCCGGGGCGGTGCGAGAAAGAGCGCCAGCTGCTTGTTCATTTAGTCAGCGTCGGGAGTTGCCATTGAATCGTGCGTCAGCTGTGGTGCAGCTGATAAATTGTGGCTTTGCTGTGGCCCGGCAGGGGGGTCGGGGGGTGGGGGTGGCGCACTTACGCCATGGTTCTCGCCATGTGGTTTTTTTTTTATTTAATTTTTTTTTTTTTTTGGCGGTGACATCAAATGCTGGCAATACACGAGAACATGAGAATCGTGCAAAAATGCCCTCATTTTAAAAAATAGACAGCACATACGAAATGCTCTTTGCAGCACTCTGCAGTGTATATTGAAGTGTTTATTTTTTTGAATCATCGCATCTATTTACAAGGCTGGCACGTGCAAGTGATTAATGAGGGGTGGAGCGTTAATAAATGGGGGAGATGTTTGTGTGTATAAATGAATCTTAAAGGGTGGGTCTGCACGAGGCCTTTCAACTATTAAAGTAGACGACATCTGCATTTAATTCGGGGTAAGGCTTTAACTGGGAGAGAGGTTTTTTGGTTTGTTTTTTTAAATACATAAGACTGAAAGGAACCGCTTTCCCGCCCCCATCAAGCAAAAAAAAAAAAAAAAAAAAAAAAGACGTCTGCTGTTTACATATTGAAGTCAATGTGACATTGGGCGATTTATTAGGGCTTAACAACAGAGCAAAACTAAAGGCAATGGCCTCCCTCTTCCAAAACTTTTGGAGGGGGAATGCGAATTCACTTTTCTGTTAGCCTATGATGATAATATCTTATCATATATCTAACTGTATTTTAAAAAAAAGGAAGGTGTCATTTGGAGGTATGGCGTCTATTCAAGTGGATGACAAATGAGGAGCAAGGCATTAAAATTGACAGATCTGTATGTGCACAAATTCATTTTCATCTTAATAAATAGAAGGCAAAAGAATGCTGGAAAAAGAAGGCAACCATTTCAGGCATGGCCTTTATTAAAGTGGTTGACACATTGGCCAGTTGATTCGTGGTGAGGCTTTTCAAATGCACTACAGTACTAAATATCAAAAGACTAAACCAGTCTGAGGGGGTGCTGTCTATTTATTCAAGTGAACAATACCTTACAATGTACGTTTTTTAAAATGTGGGTGTAAAATTGTGATGTGGCATTTAGTTATTCAAGAGAATGACACATACGGCAACTAGTTAGGGGTAAGACATTTCAAATGTACTTGTGCAATAAATCAACAAGTAGCAGTCAAGTTTTTTTCTTCCTAAGGGGAAAAATGAGGCATCCAAATGACGCGTGGCATCTATTTACAAAAATGAATGACACAGTGATTAATTAGGGGTACTATGTTCGAAACACATTATCATACTGCATGAGAATCATGAACATTAATGATTAAGTTATTTTAATTTATTTTAACAGATGCCACCTCTGGCAAGCCATTGGGGTGGCGTGTCTATTCCAGTGGAGTCTCATGGACATTTTTGATACAATTCTGCATCTTGTTGAACATATCCTCTTCAGCCTTGGCAGAGGCCTGAATCTCTAATTGGTAGCATCGCATTGCATGGAGAGACGCGGTGTAATAGGGTGCAGTCGCAGTCACCTGTCCACATTTTGGTAAAATGCAAATTGAATTTATTGGGACTAAGGATTTAAATTTTGAGAAGTTGTCTAATGCATATAATTTTAAACAAACAGATTTGTGAAGGGGGAAAAGTCGGCAACTATCGGAGGTGTGGCAACTAATCAAGTAGAGAGTACATACAGAGCAATTAATAAGAGGTATGGCATGATGGAAATTTGTTCAAATTTGTCTTTTTTTAATATGATTTTTTTTTTTTTGCAAAGTGGAGACAAAATTAATTGTCTTTTTGAGTTGTGGTATGCATTTTTTGTTTCAGGTGGTTTTATTATGCGCAATAATGATCGTACTTGGAAATATGTTGGTGTTTTTTTGGGGGGGGGGGGTATTTCCTGAGGAAGGGATGTCTATTTGAGATGTAGCATCTGTTTATTGAAGTGACCATCAGAGTTTTTCATTTGGGCTACGGTGTTAGGAATGCATTTTTTATCACAAATGTAATCTTTAGTCCGAAGTGGAAATAAAATGAAGCATTTATTTGATGAATTGACACCAATATATATCTATATATAGAGAGATATATCAATATATCTCTCTATATATAAATATATCTCTCTATATATTTGTATTACTTTAAGTAAGGTGTTTCAAATAAACAAACAATCATATACAAAAGAAATTGCAGTAATACAGAAGTATTTTTTGTAAGGGGCAATCGTCTACCTTTGGGGTAGCATCAATTTAGTCAAGTGGCGGCCATCTTTGGCAATAACTGGTGAAGTGGGTCTATTAGACCAGACTCTGCTCAACTCGACACCCTTCCAACATAAGTCGAATTGTGACACACGTGCAGGCGGTTTCTTACTCCGGCCTTGGCGGAGGTCTGCGTCTTTCACTGCACTGTGCATTCGACAACCAGAGCGCGGATAAAGTCGCAGCCACCTGTGCACATTTCCATCCTTCGCTCGTAAACCCGAACCTGTGACCCGCGTTGCCCGAACCAACGAAGCGACACATCAACGTCAAACTCGCGGCGCGGCAGTCACGTGACGCACACCTGTAACCTGTGTTGCCCCGCGGCGGACAGGGGAGTCGGGGGTATTTTCATTTATTTTTTTATTCCAGCCCACCTGGGCTAGAAACAAGCAAACAGACGACACACCAAGGCGAAGGTGTTGCTCAATGGCGGCACATGCGAAGAACTTGACGAAGCACAGCGGAATGTGGACGCTTCCACCGTAGACATCACCCCCTCCCCCAAAAAACAGAACCTCAAAAGCGTTACTCACCTCTTTGGTGTCCACGACGCCTTTGACGTATTTCCCGAGCACAGTGTCCACGCAGAGGACGCCGGACAGCGCGGCCAGCCACAACAGTCTCCCTCCGAACCGCTCCTCCATCTTTCTCGATACCCCGCCGAGGGTGGTCTGTGCCCGGGGCTCACCACTAGCTTGAGTCGGGGGCGAGAGCGCGCACTGAGGGAAGCTGAAAAAAAAGGAGGGGGGCGCGTTCACGCGGCTTCCCCACTCTGGCTGTTCAAGATGGATGCAAGCAAGGGTGCGTGTGCGCAAGCACGCATTTTTCCACGCGGCACACGTTCACTGAAAACGCCGACAGACGACGGCCTTTAAAAAGGATTTCGTCTAATTCGATGGCTCTGACGTCACCATCTGCTTTGTTGCTCGCCACTAGGGGGAGTACAGTGTTTGCATCATCTGCGTATGTTGCTACAATATTAAAAGGTGCATTTTTGGACACGTCACATGCAATTTTACATACTTTTACAATATGTGTAACGGATATTTTGGAATAACTATATATTTTTAGAATTCCGAAACATGAAAAATATTTTCTGGCAAAACATGTTTTTCATTAGAATGTAATGTGCATTGATATCACGCGTGGCCATGTGACATTTGCAACGATATATTTTTTTTAAATTAATATGGCATGCAGTGTATTTTTGGAGGTACATTTTTTTAGCAACATGATGTGTTAGTCTACTGCAGGGCCATACAGTCCGAACAAAAGCAAGATTGTCTACTTTGCATATTGTCAGGTTTTTATCTGAAATACAAAGAATTTGTTTTAAAAAAAAAGTGATTTTTAAAAATATTTTGTGTATTTATATGCTGCAGAAACATATGATCAAAAGAACATTGTCTATTTCACAGGTTTTTTTTCATTAGAATTTTTGAGAAAAAAATGGTATTCATTATATTTAACTCAAGAGATGAAAATGGGACACAAATTGTTATGCATTTTGGGTGTGATTTGGATTAATAAAAAATTAAATGGGAAATACATAATTTTCAGAGTGATGCTGTCTATATTGTACAATAAAGTTTTTTTTTTAAAAAGTCTCCAAACCTTTGATTAGCTTTTGTATCCCAAACACTTTCAAGATCGGCTGTGTTGCGATAGTTGGAAACGAAATAATTCAAAGTTTTCATCCACTCGATTATATATAAATAATCACAAGTCGACAGAAAGTGTCTCATCATCTACTGCATATACAGAGCCATCATATCGTCTTTCCCACTCACTGACTTTTGCTTGACTTTTATGGTGACGGCTGCAATGACACACAAGAGAAGTTCATGGTTGGATAGATTTATTTTGGATAAAAATCAACAAACGCTCCATTTGTGGATGATCCCTGCAAAAGAATCACATTTGACGAACAGCTCTTTCGATAAAAATATCCACACGGATCATTACAAGGACAAAAATACATTCGACTTCTTTCCTTTCATATTCACAGGTTTGCACTTGTGGTGTTTTCCTAAAGGATATGCACAGCGTTGTTTCCAGTCCATGGCTTGTTTAACTACATCTGATTAGCATTTTGACAGCATGATGCAATTACAAGTAAATCAAGTCAACTAGCAGCTGCATTGGCTGGAGAACAGATGAACAGTATAAACAGTCTCAGCATCGTCACCTGCCTCTTTGGTTCTGAATGTTAAGCTTGATTGAGACGCAAAAGACCTACCAATACAAAATATGAGCTGTCTTGTAATCCTGCGACCAAGCAAGAATGGCAGTGATCTGAAATGACTTAATTTTGGGGCAAGGCTGTGCCATTACTTCCAACTCATGAATCCTGCAGATTTGAAATCCTAACACATGCTGGCAGAAGAAACGGCAAAGTGTTCCCTCTTCCAGTCAAAAACTCCAACCCCAATTATTTTTCAAGGACGCGTGTGCCAAGAAGGTCATGATAGCTTGGGTCACTTCGGTAAATCTTTTTGAAATGTGCCCGTCTCAAACTCGGACTCAAGTTTGCTGATCCCTAATCAAAGTTGTCGACTGCAAGTTTTGCAAAAAAAAAAAAAAAAAAAAGTAAAAAGTGAGTGAGCCAGCATGTCAACGTGAAGGCTGAAACATGATGACAGTTTGAGCCCGTCTGTGGAGCAGCAGCATAACATTGACATCATAGTCATGTTCCAGCATATTTCTACAGGAATGAATCCATTAAAAATAAAAAATAAAAACCTTAAGTGTGTAAAAAGGAGTGTTCAATGACAAAACTCGAGTGGAGGATAATCAACTGCATCCAATGACTGTTCAAATTATGCCTATGCAATTTCTGTCACAACTGACAATGCAACAATTTCCTAATTGGCTAACCAGACACACGCAGACTTGTCCCGCTCTGTTGTGTTGAAAGCAATTGTTGCTGCTGGCTTCATGATCTGATTGCGATCACGTCCCCTTGTAAAAGCACAAACAATTGCGCCAATACCCCGCCTTTATTGGGTTCTGTGTGAAATTTAAAAGTCAAACATTCACTTCTCCTACTCTGTTGTATTGAAAGACATTACAAATCAATTGATTCATACATCACACCAGGCTGCGGCGTTGGCGCCATCTAATCATTTATTTGAATGTGGCTAAATTCCGGGTTTACAGGGCCAGCTCTCTCGGGATCTCTGCGTAAGAGTGGCTGGCTTAAACACGTTTGGAACCTCCACACGGTTTGAGCAGCAGATGATTAAAGTGCGAGTTCAACCTCGTGATCGCTTGAAATTGATGCCGCGTTCCAGGCATCAGGCGAAGACGAATAAACAAACCCCCTCCCCCAAAAAAATGAAAACATTGACACACACACATACAAACTACAGCAAAAGTGCACAGAGCAAAGTCGAGCCAGACGCGGCGCAGAGGATGAGCTCAGCCGTCCGTCTTTCTACTCAACCGCCTGACAGCAAAATGTGGCGCTAATCCATCTGTCCGATTTTGCTGCTGAAAATCCCCCTCGGAGGGGAGGATATTTGCACATCGGGTGAAAATACTAAATGCTCCTCAAAGCCTTAAAAGGGGAACTAAAGCCGAACATTTTTAAAGCAACAATACATTGTATGTGCCAGCCCAAATCAAAACACAGAACTCTGGAGTAAATACTGCGTTGGTGGACGAAGATTTCACGGAATAATTCATCAACAGAAGGGCGGCGCTAATTTGGCTGAAATCACTTTCGGAAGTGACATTGAAGGGCAACGAGCGCCTTGCCCGCTAATACAGAGAGCAATGGAGTGATTCATAATTCGGTCCTGTGCACACGCCTGAGATAACAAACAGATTAAGTGTAACTAAGTGTAAAGGCCTTGTACGTAGGCAAGACATTTATGATCATGGTTTATTACCATATTTTTCAGACTATAGGTCACACATTTTTTCATAGTTTGGCTGGTCCTGCGATTTATATTCAGATGTGATTAGGATATTTTTAAAATGATGCTTGGAAGTTGGACGGGCACCCAAAATCCTTATTCGCAAACTGTGTTGACTTTTGAGTGCATTACTGCCACCTTCTTGACACTGGCGGTAATGCACCCAAAATATTTGCCAACTGCCAAGAGAAAAAGAAATGGAAGAGGAAAAAGTAGATTTTCTGTCATGCACTGCAACAGGTGGCTTTCTTTAAATGCTAAAGAAGCACCAAACGTATTTGCCAACTACCAAAAGAAAATACAAGAAATAGAAGCAGAGGAACAACTAGAAGACAAAGACGAACTAGTCATGGCAACGGCGGCTAGCATGGAGCATGCGCTACAACAAGGATTTACTCTTTACAAAGGCGAAATCCGACCAGGATTCTACCTGGTTTGCCACTCGGCGACGTGGGATTATAGTCACGGGAAGCCATTTTAAACTAAAAAGTCAAAACTTTTGAGTTAGATGAGGGAGGTTCACATCTAACCAAAACTCATTTGCTGCCATCAATATAGGGGAGTATGCGTGTGCTGGGAGTGTTAGGGGGGCTGTGAATTTTTGCTTGCTAACTAGTGTATTTGCATCTGTACTGCATTTGAAACCTGCAGGGCAAGTACGAACGCGGTCTGTGGCGCAGCAGCACTGAAGAAACAGCATCATTCCAGCACCATTCGACTGCAATAAATCGCAAGGACAGAGTGTGAATTTTTTGTTGCTTTTCACCATTTACAGTCAAGCCCGGTTCCTAGCCGACTGTACAATGTCGATCATCATGGATACTTTTCTATACGTCAAGCCAATAAAAAAAAAAAAAGTTCTTTTCTCTGTTTATTAGGCCAACGTCTGGTGAAATTTGATCTCAAGATGATTGGAGGATGGGTTGAACTCCCCCTTTTCGAGGATCCACGGTAATAGAGATGGCTACTGGTGAACTCACCCAATTTGCTGCTCTGCTTTTGGAACCAGTGGTCCGTTATTTGTGGAAGAACACCCGTTTGCTGTTTCTGTGCTCAGACCAAAGTCTTGTCGAACAGAAGGGTATTGATTTTGGCGACTTCTTGTGGGATCTTGGTGGCAAGGAACTATGTTGTGTGAAGCTGAGGAGCGTCATGCCGTGCGTTGCCACCATCTTGTGGCATATAGTGCAGGCAATTCCAAACATGTTTTATCTCAATTAGTCGCAGGCTCGGTCCCGTTACTGTACTGCACAATAACTTCACCTCCTCCTCCTCCTCACGATCTCAGTCCATATTGTTACGAAGCGGCTGTTCCTTAACAAGTAGCGAGCGCGTTCACATGGTAGAATCAACGGCACAGAAATACAATTTAACGCTACACAAAGAAGTCTGGTAAACGGACCTCGTCCATTACAGTGTAGATATGGATATGGATGAAGACATAATAGGAATGGATGAAAAACAGCAGCAAAATGATTGAGGAAAGAAATGCGGCCCTTCTTTCGGGTCTGTTTTCTTTTTGTTTGTTTGGGGGTCTTTTTTTGTATAATTGGATTTGAGTCAACAGAGTAAGCGTCAATAGAGTCAGCCGTATTGCTGGCGTAACGGAGAGCACAATGTGGCACTATTAGGTGCGCTGTGGAGAGTCTCCGACGGGACAACGGGGGCCGTTCAGATTGGAGTGATACAACGGAGGAGCGTCTTATCTGATAAGCCCGTAACAGGATTTTCACTCCAGAAATCATCTGGAGTGTCCAGGTGCCTGATCTATGTCAAATAGATCGGTTTGCTACATTATATTTCCTTAAAAAGCGTGAAGCATCGTATAATGGATGCGAGACGGCATTCATACAGGACCGCCGTCCGGTTTTCAAAGCAGAGGGAGGGTTACTTCCTCTTTGTGGTCTAAGTATCACCTTGCCTAATTGTGTCTCTCCTAAGCGCCGACACCCTCGACGCCATTTTGGGTGATAGTAACAAAACCGTCTGCTTCAGCCATTTTAGTCCCGAGCCCCGCATCCAGCTCACCCCGGACAAGCAGGGCGGCGGTGGCGCTGCCCCTGTCGGTCCGTTCCAGTTTGCGGTGCTTGCGCGGCTCAGGCGGCGGCGTCTCCTCCTGCGTGAAGACGGCACGGATCCGCTCGGCGCACACGTTGGCCGCCTCCCTGGTCTCTCGGGAGAGCTGCGACAGGCTGAGGAAGCCGTGGGGGAGGTCGTCCACTATGCACAGGGTGACGGGCTTGCCGACGGCCCGCAGGCGCTTGGCGAACATCACCGAGTCGTCCAGCATGGGGTCCAGAGCGCACGCCTGAGGATAGCGAAGGAAACGGACATGTCAGGCATCTTAATGAAGGCGTGAGGAGAAGGAAGCCAAGTGCTTCGTGCAAGCCACATTTGCCTTTGCACTGACTCACTGGAGCCATTTTGAAAAACCCAAAACAACACAATCTGCAGAGGCGCTAATAAAATAAGAGTCTCACAATGGAGAAATGTTTCCAGTAGGTTTTTATGAGGACAATCCTGCCCGTCAAATCTTTTTACATTTATATAGTTTCGTACTTAAATGTAATTGTTGTTGAACACAAAACCTCAAATTCAGTGAACCATCGCAGTTTGTCGTTCGTGTCCTTGCTCTATCACGGCTTTTTAGGCTTTTTGGTTTTTTCTCGACGGCACATTATGCACATTACTCAACAGAGCAATAAGGCATCCACATTTGTCTCTTTCTTCTTGTGCCGTCCCTCTTCCTCCTCCATGCATAACTGCTCAAAAACCCCACCCACTTACTGATTTAATTAACTTCAAAGAGGCAGCTCATTTACTCAACTCTGCAAGGAGCAAATCAAATTGTGCCCCGCTTAGAAGTCCACTCAAAAAAAAAAAAAAAACAAAAGGCCAGATCATTGCCAGTGACAGTAAAGCGGTTTTTGAAACCCGTACTTTTTAAAAACAGTAATTAGCCCATGCCTACACTCCTCACCATTTTGGTTTCTCCAATTGGCTCCGTTTCGTTTTTAAAAATACCCACCAATAACGTCATATGGGCCAAAACGCTGAGAGGTTTTCCAATTCAATGCATCAAAAGGCTGACATTTCAAACAGGGTTACTATAAATCACGATAAGAATAAACTTTTGTCATGTTCAGGCAAGATTCGTAATATCACAAAAAGTCAGAATATGAGAAATTCAAGTCACAATGTAAAAACAAAAATTGTAAAACCCCGCCTGCTTTCAAAGTGTGTATTTTGTGCCAAACGTAGCTTTGTATTGATTGAATAGCCCGACGAGTCATGTCAAATCATCACGCTTACAGGTGGGAAACCCAAACACCTCACAAATGATCTTGCAAACACATGCAGACAATCTAAGAGCTTCATTTGCACTTTGGAATCCATAAAGAGTGCGTGTGTGGGCCGCTGGCTCGCTCCGCTTGCTTATCCGAGCTTTTTAACATGCAGACAGTGAACACACAAATCATCCAACACTTTCAGTGTTTGCGTGTCGAGGCCTGCTAGCACTCACCACAATGTGCACGGGTGGCAGAGCCTTCAGCATGCTGTCGGGGGCCAAAAGGGGCGAACAGAAGGGGTCCTTGACCACCGGCGAACTGTGCAGCTTCATCTCGGACAGCTGCTCCGAGCGCAGCGGCTCAAAGCCTTGCGGGAACTCTGAGCCCTCCTCGCCACCAGGGGGCGGTATGGCCAACAAAGACAAGTCGCAGTGCCACTCCGAAGGAGTGTCGGTGGAGATGGAGAAGGAGAAGTGGACTTCTTCAGGCTGCGTAAGACACAGATTTAAATCTGAATGTTAAACTTAATATATATCTATGCTGGAAAAAGTCATGATAGGGCGAGAAAGTTATTTTACCACTACATTTTTTTTTTTTTTTTGGGTAAACAATTTTATAATTTGTATAGCAGTCCCAATATGATCTGGGGGAAAAAAAAAACGTTTACTTCTAGAGAAAATCTTAAGCTGGGGGGAGACCCAATGGCAATGTTATTGTGACCTACAGCGCGCTCAGACACAAGCGGAGCACAATGGGAGGTGGAATTATCAGCTCCGAGGTCCTGGCACGTCTGGCTCTTCACAGGTAACTTGCCGGCGAGGAATTCCGTGGGCTCCGAAGGCCTCGGCGGGTCCACATGAGGAGAAGAGATGGACGCCTCGGACACGCTCGTCCTCACCGCGTCTGAGGGGGACAAAAGGAGAAGTTCAATCGCTGGCGCTTAAATTAATAATCAACTGCAGGGGAGGAGTTGGCTGGTTAAGCGCTCGCCGGGGAAATTTATGGCGGTGGTAATAAGCAATTACTGAATGAGGCCTTCTGTTGCAGTGAGGTGAATTGTTATGAATGGATTTACAACCGTGGAAAGCAACAGGGAAGTGGACTTGGAGTAAATATAATCATATCAATAAAAAAAATATATATGTAGGCTCTCATAACCTTTCAAGTGGACGAATGTCATCACTGGAATCATGACACAAAAAGGCCAATTTCTCTCAAAAGTTGTTCACAAATCCATGCTAGTGATTTACCCTCTGACCGGATAATCCATCCACCAGGTATGTCATATCAAAATGCTGACGAGGCAACATTGTCGCACAGCACAGGTGTGCCTTTTGCTACCCACTCAAACAGTTGCCATTTTTTTTCCTAGACCCCCCCAACATCCAGCTAATACTTTACTCACAATGAGTTTGTATTTGGTGGCTAACAGCTATGCGGATAGCGACAAGAAAAAAACCCCATCATTTATTTAGTCGACCTTGACTCGACTATTGTCAACTTAGGGTCGACTACTAAATATATATATATTTTTTAAAATTCTGACTGGTGACATCATGAAAAACGATTTTTGAGCTCTCAGGCACATTTGGCCTGACATCAGCTGACACCCCCCTTCTTTAATGCAGTCATTAGTTTAGCGGTGACTCACGAAAGCACTTTTATGCGTCCCGCCTTTCAAATTCCCCATTCGAAGTCCGTTTTACCACTTTGCAATACGTTTCCCTGGTGAGTTCCTGCTTTGCAAAGAGGAGCTTACCAGTGTCTTCCGGTTGCGTGCTGGGCGGGTTGTCGGCTCTGTTGGAGTCCAGCAGAGAATGGATCCAGTTGGACGCGCCCTGCCGGAAGTCTCGGAGCAGCAGCGCCGTGTCCTTCCTCACCATGCCGAGTGTGCTCACCTTCTCCACCTGCTTGTCCGTCTGCGGCTCGCTACCTGGAGTGGGTGCGAGGGCGAACGTGAGATTCGTGAGTGAGGCCAAGTGAATGAGGGAAGGTCATAAAAATAAAATGGTAGAAAAGTCAACATCTGTGACGGTGCCGGACAATTTCAGCGAGGGGGGACTAAATACGAATAATAGTTGTTGACGGTACAGAAATTATAGACGATATATCGAGGATGAATGAACACGGCCCCCTGAGCCTGTCAGACAAAACATTATCGCGAGTGCTGATTATTTACACGCCACAATAAGAAGACTCGGAAAGTAATATATGTACAAATAAAGAGGAATTGCGGGCTTTATGGGACAACTCTTGCAATGGAAAAAAATTGGGGAAAAAAATCACTTTCTACAGAGTCTCATTCAGTCCTGTGAGGGCAGACAATCCTCTTTGTGATTAAGATGATTATTCAAACTAAAAGTAACCTAACAACTGTTGGTGTAATTTAAAATGACTGCAGAGATGCTGGTTAGGATTTTAAAACACATTTTCCCATAAATAATGTAGACTGTAATTTATGTTTAAACAACAGGCGTCATTTCACCTTTTGTTTGGTAACAGCTTCATAAAGGTAAAAATAAGTTATTTATATTAAAATACCAACGCTCAGGCCAGGTGTACACATTCCCATATAGCGAGTATGTTCACTTGGGAAACTTTTTCCGTTTACGTCATGTGTGAATATTTGTCATTTTTATAAGGTTGCTGTCTGGCAGAATCCTCTCATACCCGAAAGCACAACTTTTCGGTGTACATTACCGATACGTGGGTCTTCAGTGTATGAACGCATCACAACACTTTATCACAAACCAAGGACCCCGCGTATCCGACTGCAGAGGTCCCAGATGAGCCATTTTCAAAACCAAACACACAGCAGGACAGCCGGCACGCACCTGCGTAGGCGCTGAGACATCTGGAGAGCACGCTGAGCGGCAGCATGGGGTCGATGAGGGTGAGCAGACGGGACGGCGAGGCGTAGGCAGTGAGCAGAGTGGCCGGGTAGGTGGCCAAGAGGCCGTCCGGCATGCGTACGCCGTAGGCGGCGGCGCGCATGGACGTGGTCACGCACAGGTTGCCCCCAGCACTGTCGCCTGCCAGGCAGACTTTCTCCCCGGTCCAGCCTGGATGGTCAGAGGGCAGTGGGGGGGAAAAACAAGGGGTAAGTTACATTGAGTTACTCGTGCTGGTCAGTATGGCCTTAGAACTAAATCACTGATTTCTGAGTCTTGGATTTTGTTTTCACAAAAATCGGACATGAGGTTTGAATTGACCCTCTGGCCCCCTTAGAAAAAGCAAATGGCAATGTTATTTAGAACACACGTTTTTTTCTTCCCCCCCGTGCTTGAAATAGTTCATTTACAGAATTTTTTTGTTCTCCTTAGCAGAAAATTGCATTAACTTCCACAGAAATAAGAGGAAAAAAGACAAAGTTTTCCTTTTGCTTGAAAAAAAAAAAAGAAAAGAAAAACTCCTTTTTGTCCTTAATACATTTTATTAAATGTTCAACATTTTAACAATCAAATGAGACGTCGGCTCTTGTTCCTTTTCATCCGTTGAGTCGTTTTCATTCATTTTAGTTTCACTTGACAGCGTTGGGACTTTTATTTACAGAAGTACTTGACAGTTAGGAATGTTAAGATGCTCCTGAAACCATCATCGGTTCAGTTTACGACGGTTTTAGGATCGCGGCAATTTGAGGAATTGATTGACTTTAGGTGGGTTTTTGGGGTATCTGAAGACCCCAAGACTAAATTGTCCATAAAAACTTTTTTTGGAGGGGGTGGGGGGTGAGGGGGGCGGCTGCTGCAATTCTGCTTGATGACTATGTGGACGCCGGTCCGGCGTGTATACCGCCTCTCCGCCAAAGTCATCTGGGATGGGCTCCAATTTACACGCAACCCCGACAAGGACGAGCGCGAGAGAAAACGGAATGACGTGTACGTACCTAGCAGGTGGTGGTTCCTCAAAGCCCAGCAGTACGCATAGAAGCACTCCTCCAGGGCCCGTGGAAAAGGGGCCTCGGGGGCCAGGGAGTAGTCCACTGACAGAATGGGGACGCCCAGGTCCTGGGACCAGCTCTTCAGATAAGGCTGCACAAGAAGAGCCGTGGAGAAGAGAGACCAAAGGGAATGTTTAAGATGCTGTTTAAGCCACGAGAAACAACAGCTGCCACAATAAAGCAAAGAGGAGGAGTTCTTTGTGGGGGGGGGGGGGGGGGGGGGGGGGGGTGAAAAAGACAGCATAAAACTTATGAAACTGATTGGTCCCTGTGATGTGTCGTGTCTGCCTTTTGGCTTTATTGTCTAGACAGAGGAGAGCTGGCCCGCGCGGTCACCTCCATTTTCTTTGCTGCTTCATGAACAAAAGACGACCTTATTTGATGAGAACACGAAAAGGAAGGACAAGACGGGGTTGCTGCAAGATTAATGGTGACCTCAAAGGTTGTCCTAAGTTTTTTTTTTTGTACTTGTTTGTTTTCAATCACCACCTCCTAAAAAGAAATCTGAGATGACGACACCATCCAAGTGCTGTTGTCAAAATGATGAATCATAGTGTGGTCAACTGGGTATGCGCAATCAGCAGAGGAAAGCATGAAGAATACAACAATAACATCCAACACGTTTGTTTCTGCCACGAATAATCCTCAGTTTTAATACGTGTGTATGTCCATTTATGTTTTGCTGTAGTTGGATTTTTTTTTTACCGAATAAACACATGTAGGTATCTCTAAATTCAAACTCTTATCTCTCAAAAAGGTGACCATCTTTTGTTTCACATTAACACCTGTGCATAATATTCCCCTGCCCAATTTAGGATCATTGCAGCGAATGGAAATTGCAAGATTCCGTTTCAGCCTCTGGGAAAAAACTGTGTATCATATGAAAGAAAACTAGCACTCTATAATATTGCACATACTTGAAAGAATGTAAATAATGAAACAGTTTTGGACATTTTTGCTTGGATTCAATGGACATTGTGCTGCTCCTTCTGGTGTCTGCAACTTTCTTTTTTAATCAGGAATTATTTGCTCTATTTAGCAACCTCAATTTACCCAGCAAACAAATCAAAATTTTTTAATCACGTCATATCCATATTTTTTCAACCCCCGCCCCCTCCCCATCGTAAAATCCTGTGTGTAATACGCCAATCCAAAATCAACCTTTAGTTTTTTTTCCTGTGTTGCCGTGTATAATACAGTTCCCCGATTTGCTAGTACCGGTATCCTTTACAATCATCTGGTCGCAATTGTGCAAGTGCTTTCTTTTTCACTGTTTAAGCCAATCTTGAAAGGTAGCTTTCAACTACCCTTACTGGCACTGCTCTGGTCAAGCTCCGACAATTGCATCTCTCCCACTTCATTTGAACACGTACTTCAGTTTCACATGCTTAAACTGAGTTTAAACTAACACGTTCTTTATTATTTGCTATCTTTTAAAAAACACAGTCTCCGCACTGGATCTCTTGAGATGGTGCCTGGGTACAGAATAGTATCCAGTGGGTGAATGTGAACTGTCACTGCTTAAGTGAGTGTCAGAGATTATAAGCAGCTCGGCCAGTCAGGCCAGCTCATCACTCACTAGCGCGGAGGGAGCAAAACAAATGGCCTATTAGACAGGAGATAAGTCCCGTGTGTGTGTGTGTGTGTGTGTGTGTGTGTGTGTGTGTGTGTGTGTGTGTGTGTGTGTGGTGGGGGGCTTGGGCTGATTAATTTTACATGGCTCCAGAAGCCCTTCTGGGGCACACAATTCCTGTCAAGCAAGAACAACACACACATACACGTCTGCTCTATAATGCTGCACAAATGGTGCAGCGAGGGACTCCAAAAGTGAGCACAAGTCATGAATTTTCAATAGCAGTCAGCATCATGCAGCAAGCGTCACCAGAGCATCTGGCCGATCTTGAGCAGCGCAGGTGCCACAACCCCCGGTCCAAGCAACTTTACGGGGGGCACGAGATATGACTTGGCAATCTGTGTGAAATGTAACACATCCCCAGTTATAAGAGGCTGTGCACACTGTGCAGCCACGTTACCGGTACTTATTTGTACTTTCCCCCTCTTAAAGACTTAATTTTTAATGGCATTTTACAGATTATAGGTCACGTTGATTGGGGGTTGAAATTATTTGTTTGGGTCCTTTATTTTTATTTATTTTTTTATTGATTGCCTGGCATTTGAACAGAGGTGTGTCGACTTTTTATACCTATATAGCTGTGTCTCACTGCTTGTGGAAGCACAAACTATATAATTCTGTTTTTATAAAGCGCACGATTCTAGAGTGTCATTTTTCCTTATCAAACAACACAAACATTTCTTTGTTGGGAGCAGGGGGAATGACATTTTCAATCATGTCAATGGGAAAAAAATTATATAAGACGTAAGTGTTTTGAGTTGGGAGCCTGATGACGGAATAAATGAAACTCCCTAAACTCAAGGCAAGAATTGTATGACATGTCATATTATAACGTGCCTATCTGTCACTTTGTTCCTCGGCCTGCTGACCAATTCAATTTGGTTGCTTTCACAGTTCTAATGTGTCACGGGGAAGGACTAGGAGGCGATGTTGCTCGTCTGTGCCATTGTGCGCTGGGTTGGTTTAAAAATAATAATATCAAATAAATAAAGAAAGAAATAGATAGATAAAAATATTAACCCTATCGTACCTCGTGGGATTTGGAGGTCTGAGCCACAAAGCCTCCGCCATGGAAGTGGATGAGCAAGCAGGGGGATGAGGGCAGCCGCTTGGTCTTCAGCCCCAGCGAGAGGGATTTGGCCCCCACATCGGAGCGGGTGAGCGACAGCAGTGTCTCGCTGTCCTGGGGGGGAGGGTGGAAGAGAGAGTTTCCTTCAAGACTTAAGCTTAAAGCAGCACATTAGGACAAGTTGTAAACGCGGCTAGTTTTTTTTACTGCCCGTGCTAGGGCCCCGCAGAGAGCTGGATTAGCTGCTGTGCACCTGCACCAACGCGCATTCATTGTGCAGCACAAAAAAGCCAGGTTGATGACATCTTGCCAAGAGGCCTTTTTTTGGCTGTTTTTTTGTTTTCCGCTGACAAAGTCTTGTAATTTCGTGACACCAAAAAGCACCGTGCTGTTTTTGTTTTGAGCAAAATCAATGACTGAGGCGTTTGCTGAATTGCTTGTCTGGTTATGTGCCAGCTTTCGCACAAGGAGGATGAGTGAGTGAGTGAGTGAGCGAGCGAGCGAGAGAGAGTGTGATAAAGAGCTGAAAAAGTGGCAGTGAGGGCGATGAAAGGGACGAGGATTATGTGTGGAGACGACTGGGAGTAGCTGTCAACAAAATTCCAACTCTAAAAAAATGCTTTCTGAATTTTCAGGGCTTGACTATATTAAGCTTTGCCAAACAGACCCAGTGGGGAAAACATTGTTAAACTAGGCCAGACAACTATTAAAATGGGATTTACACTGTAGGACCAAGTGTCCAATTCTGATTTAAAGCCTGTATCCCATTTTTTTTGACTAGCGCACAGTAATCCATCCCTCTATCACAAAAAATATTTTTTACAGGAAACAAATCTCGTTTTCTCCAAACCAACCAACTTAACATCTGTCAATATTCATCAAAAATCCTGCCCAAAGATGTACATTATAAAACCTACAGCCGTTGCTTTCTGTCGGCGTAAAAAGCAGGACTGTAGAGGAAATGCAATAATATTCAACAAAAATGCTGAAATACTTCCTGTCCCCCCCCCCCCACACACAATCTCTATCAACAGTATGCTTCCATCTCGTGGTCGACAGTGGAATTACACTGCAATTTACTGTACCAAAGACATCTGCGATAGATGGGTTTAGTGTACAGTAGGTGGGTTTCAATACACCCATTTTTATTAGAATCTCATGGCGCTGGCAGTCTCCTATTTGTTCTGTGACCAAGCTGATAACATAATTTACTCAAATATCAAATCAATATTCTCGTTGAACTTAACTGAAATGTCTAAGTTGTTCCGACTCCACAAAAACAAATGCTTTTATGTTTAAAAATAAAACAAAACAAAACAAAACAAAACAGCAGAGCATATTGTAGTCTGTGTGTGCTTTTGCTTTGGATTATTGTGGTGATTTCTTTGTGCGACTGGAACAAATGCAGGTGCATGTCAAGCGTGTTTAAGCTGCACTCTTGAGTGGCAGTCTGGCAGAGATCTGATCCATATTGGATTTCATCCACGTTTGGAAGAGTCCTGATTCCAATCTCAAGATAACAGATTCCATAAATTTGTTTTTCTCCATCTAATGTCGTGACGCGCATCCCGACTGTGCCACTCGGGAGCCAACAGATTGGAATTGTGTCACTTGGACCATGCAGTGCAAAAGCAGCCTTTGTGAAGTCAAACAATGCTTTTGTACCTGTCCTTCCCGTAGGTCGTACGAGATGAGTCTCATCTGAACCGGAGCGGTGCCGATGTGAGCCGACGGCGGCGGTATGGTCACCGAGGCTTGGTGATTGGCTGCCAGCGGGAGGTCGAAGGGCACGGGAGGCACAGAGAGCGTTCGGTTCACCTTGACCGGGACGGATGTCATACTGGCCAGACTCTGCGGGGGGAGGGAGAATGGCAGCAAATTGAGAAAAGGGGATTGCGAGTTACAGGGCAAGTTCACTGGAGGGAAAGAGAAACTACATGAATAAATCATGAATGCCGCAGAATGAATTGATTTCGCCTCTATTATTACTGCCAGTGCAAATGCATATTGATAGCGGTGTACGTCTACTCGCGGGCAGAAAAGTATTGTCTTCTGAAAAAACAAAACAAAGTCCTTTGAATTTATGGAATTTGAACATGTCCGTTGATTGCACGTGATTCAAACGTGATAAACTGATTTCCTTAAGATTTTACTCGTGTGCAAGCGAACAAATGGACAAATTCAGAAGTTTCTTTTCCCAGTGTATGAGGGTCCTCGGTTTACGACTGAGTTCTACTCCTACTGCGGCAATGTAGGCCTCATTTGTATGCGAGTGGGAATGCACTGTAGTCTATCGCTAAGCTATGCTAAGGCTGAGGTCGTCATAATTACAGTAAAGTGGCCACAACACGGGGAGATGGCAACTTCTGCTTTTCCACCGTTCGACAGCGCTCTACGGGCTAGCGCGTGCCTATTTCAAAATAAAAACGACAAAAATCAAGTCACTTTGAAAACACATCATGAGGAGACTGACGGAGCACTTCAGCCAGATGGTGGTGGCGGAGTCTCACAATTCCATCCAGAACTAAATCGGAATCTACTTCAACGCTACACACAGTCTCCACAGAATATAAGATCATCTTCACTGCTCACAATACACAGCCAGACTCACTCTTTATAGAGTTTTGCAACACTTCTCAGGCATGAGTTGCGTTCAAGAGTGCACATGTATATATTATCAACCTATTTTCATGGCTTTAATTTGATTAAATTAAGTAACAGACGAAATGGGGACGGACCATTAGTATCGATTTGTAAACGAAAGAGAAAAAAAGAAATAAAAATGTGACCATATTTGGATATTCTGCCGGACAGCAACGGCTCAACGAGTCGTGGTGAATCGAGTTGGCAAAGTGGCAAACGCTATCAAGGCCTCGACTTACCGAGAGCACTTCGGTCTCTGTGACGTTCCAGAACGTCTTCCAGAAATGGACGTCGAGGTTCTGAGTGATGCGCTCAAATTCAGCCCCTCTCAACTCGGGGTCGATGGCGTACTTGCCCGACGTAAAGAAGGAGCTAGCCGCTACACCTGCGGGAAAAAGGAAACAGAATGCCATTTTTATTTGCGTGGCAGGATGTATTGTTGAGGAGACGGCGGCTGGGGAGTAAAATTAATCAACGGGGTAAATAAAAGGAGGGAGCAACAAGTAGACGAGTGAGTGAAAATCATTTTGTATCGGGGAATAGACCTCAAAGCCTCTCGGAGCTGTCTAAAACGGCGAACAACAAAACAAAGCCTTACTGACATACAGCACGACCAACTTGTCGATTTATGAATGTTTTATGTATATTCTTCTCATGCAACTTTGAAAACATTTTCTGCGTAGGGCACGTAGATGCACTTTGGACGAACAGCCAACTCTCAGGGAGGGGAGGGAAAAAAATCTATACGGACACTATACAAGATGGGTTGTAAGAAGCCTACTCTATTGACGAGTACAAACACTTTAGAGCTAAGGGTTTCTTATTTCCGCCGGGATGACGTGAGCGTGTACACTCACCATATGGCGCAATACCTCCTGCCTCCACTGTGGCACACAGTAGAGAGCACAAAAAAAAAAAGATGAATGAGTTGAATTACACTGAAACCTTTCAAACCGGCAAAAGTTGCACAAAATTTGGAGGTCAAATCAAACCACCGGCCAAGTGTGTTTTGGTTTTTATTTGGGAGACACGCTAACCACCTGCGATCCGTGCTGCCCTGCTCAGAGCAACATGCTCAATTGAATATCACATACAAATTGATTTGATTAAATCAACCAAGTTACTGTCGGCTGGTTAATACAAAGTAGTTTGACTGTGGCTTCTCGTTATATTACGACAGATCTTAATGACGCGTGATTTAAAACATCGTCTTTGCAATTAATAAACGTTCATGGTGACAGTTTGAGCCCGGGCCACTTAAAAGGTTCTCAGTTGATGATGCCGTTCCGTTCCTACAGCAGTAATGTAATTTAAATTTGCATACCGGTCCGAACATGCCATAGTTTATCACTAAGCTACGCTTAACAGTGGTCAAGTCATCTTTTGAAACACCTCGAGGCCAGAAATATAAAATATTCAAATGAAAACCTAAGTATGGCGGTAACTGAGTGCCTTCTCGTGCTGTCATATTCTTAATGCAGCTGCTCTCTGACACGCTGGCATTCACGAGCCCACCGGGTTATTCGTCTGCGATGTCAATTATCAGCAAAAACAACATTTCGAAAAACTGAATATAATGTTAGACCAAAGTGTTCCACCTATCAATATTTTTCGAAGGCTCTTCTGGGTTGAGACACATTCTAAAATATGGAGAGGACTGCAGGCTATCGCCTGAGATTCCAAAAGGGATGAAAGAGCATGCAGCACATACATACTGTAGCATCAAAAGATTGAGACAGGGCGGTTGCGGAGAGCGGGAGGGCGGTCAAGGAACAGCGCGGAGGCGGTGAGGTGAGATGAGAGAGTGACACTTGAATGACAATGAAGACGATGCTGACCTATTCCAGACTGATGGGGCCTGTAGTTTTCTCCAAAGGCCACAAGGCCGATGGCGATGGTCTGCAGGGACGGCCGGATACCGGGACAGAACTGGTGGGGGCCGAAGCACAAAATCATCACCTTGAGTGCAACATTCACAATTTTAATGATGCATTCCAAAAGCACGGATGAGACAAGAGCTCGCTCACATTGTACTGAGCATGAGCCAGGAGCTAAAAAGTGAGAATGTACAAAGCTTGGCACCATTTCATTTTTAATCAAAGGAGCTTAAGTGCAAGATGAATAAAGCACAACAGGTTTCAGTTGCAAAACTGCAGTAGAGTAAATATTGTTAGCTAGTTGGAAGAAATAGTAATCCAAAATAGGTGGTTTGGACAGAGGGAAACAGGGAAGTATTTCAGAACAGCGCAGTTTTTGTTGAAAATGATTGAATGTCATCTTCTGTAATCCTGCTTTTTATGCCAACAGAAAGCGACAGTTCATTTTGTAACGTATATCTTTGCGCAGGATTTTTTATGTACATTACCGGTATGTATATTATGAAACGAAAAGTTAAATTTGTTGGGGAAAAAGAGCTTAATTTTTTATTTTTTAAACTGCAAACACAAATGGATTGGTACACTGTTAAACTGTACAATATTTTACTGCTCTTGGTCTCTCTCAACGTGTTCAAATTATTTTAAAAATGTGTCTAGTGTGAAGTGCCCTAAAAATGGCATTTCTCTATCGCGGAATTCACTTCTCGCAGAGGTGGTCTGGGAACAAATTCAACTCAGAATTTTAGGCACTATTGTGTAACGACAGGCAGATCGATTCAATTCTCTTCCACTTGATGGCCCCCCCTTTTTGTTTGGCAGCTTTCCCTCATGTAAAATATGTATAGCTTGGCTCATAGTTGGAAAACAGCGTTCTAGAAATTCCAGAATTGACTTGAAAACCTTTGCGGTCCTCAACAGACGGCTGGCAATTCGACTCTGATCCAACCTGAAAGCCCAAGCAGCGGCCGTAGAAGCAGCCCTTGTGCATGGAGCTGTATTCGCGCACGAAGCTCTCGCTGAGGCCGCTCTCGTCGTGGAAGAAAAGGTTGCCGTGGCCGTTGTCGTGCAGCATGCGCTGGGCCAGGTAGAGCAGCGCCCGCAGCTGGCACAGGGCGTTGCAGTAGGCCTCCATCTCGCCGGCGTTGTGGGCCATACGGAAGAAGATGCTGCGGCGGTTGGCGGTGATGTAGCGGCCCTTGTGGATGATGTGAAGGAGGCAGCAACGCACCACCTGAAAGAGGCCACGCCAAGTGAGTAATATTTCAGCTTGTGGCGATAGACAAAGCCAACACGCTGCGGTTAAAATCTCAATGAAAATATGCGTCAAAAGTCAGAGAAAATCTTCATCCATCATCTCAGATAACCTCTGCAAACTTGACTTCTGTGAGCATTTCAGGGTTTCAAGGTTGTTTTTGGTGCCCCCTTTGCCATTCAAATCAACAAATGTCCCAAGCGTGCAATGTTGTGCCACAGGAATGGGTCTGGCTTCCCATTAATTCCCTGCCAACCATTTCAGAGCATTTTGACTGATCTATGAAAACTTCTAAAATATTGTGTTCCGTGACTACGGAACTACCGAAATGACCAAACCAAAGAGCAGACTCTCCCCTTTCACTAAGAAAAGAAGTTTACCTCTACCTTTTCCGTTATTTTGGAATCAGTAGTAGAATAAAAGTTGGTGGCGCCAGCACAACCAGCACGAAAACAAAACAAAACCCATGCTTTGAAATGTTAAAATGGCGATACAAATAAATTGCTTGAAGCGTTAAGAAAGTTTTTAGAAAAGTTGAGCTGGGAACAAATTCATTTAGTTTTGGATGGATTCTCGGAACAGATGGTTGCTTCAGCTGCAAATTTGCATTAGTTGTGGGAACAAGAGAGGCCTTCAGGTCTGCTCTATTGCGAGAAACTGATTTAATTATTTATATGGTTAAAAAAAAAAAATTACAATCAAGGCCTGATCAAACTCGGAGACTTAGTGCGTTCCGTTTGAAATTGTGATGCGTAAAAGCAACCAAGCTTGGGACTTCTGCCTGGGGAGTTATGTCCATATAAATCGGGGCTATTGTGGGAATGAGAGGGATTGATCGTGGCAAACAGAGAGAGGCATTAATTTTGCTGCTCGGTTTGCCTTATTCACTTGTGGAGGGGCTGCAGCTTTCGAAGGTCACCAAGTTTCATCAATAACTGTGGGGGATAAAATACTGTGCGTATAGGGGGACGGATATATTGGAGTGCTGCTTGCTGCAGGAGTATATCTAACCTGATTTGCAACACAAAATCAATTTGTGCAACAAATGAGCTGACCTTGAAACAAAGCCGTCTCCTGCCAATGGGAGGCTGGAGAGCAATTCTTCAGTGCGGCCAGAGCGGAGGACAAGGATGCCTAAACTGCAGGGTCCGTCTAAAATGTTGGCAGTCTTACACACGTATATTGTAACGGGTGCATCAAATCTGACCAGGATGTTGAAGTGAAGTTTGTGAAATGGATCTCTCATCCTATTTTTATTTTTTTCGTTTAGGTCGGTCAGGCCACATGCAATCATAATACGGTTACTTTCGGGCGTGTGTGCTTGCGGTCTACCTTGACGAGAGAGCGATAGCCATTGGCCGGTATGTGCGGGTCGAAGTCAAAATGGTGGTAGACTGCGGCAAAGCCCGAGATGACGGGTTCGAGGCTGCGGGCGTGCTCCTGGATCAGCTTCATCGTGTCCACCAGCCGCCGGGCCGTGTCGTTCTGCGGCCCTTTGGCTCTTCCCGAGAAGTAGGCGGCATTCTCCTCGCACACGTTGTACAGGGCCACAAAAACCGCCTTGGTGTCCATCACTGCAAGAGACAAAGACACAAAGGCAAATTACCACTGGGATGGGAGATATTTTTGCTGTGACAGACCGGAAACATGAAGCCGGCAAAAAGCCCCTGAAAGCCAAACAGCAGTGCAGGGAACCACGAAAAGTTTTTGTTCCACGAGAGCCATACAAAAACATCAAAACAAGCACTAATAGAGGAGTCCCAGAGGGATGGGCATTGAGGGGCCGACACAAACAGCCGCAAAGTGTTGTTTTGGATCGCTACGTGGCACGGACGAGGGCGCCGATGCCTAGCCCAGTTCGGTTTTCACATCTATGAACTCTCAAGGAGCCGCCGGTCCCCGACTAATTCGAAGAAATATGATCCTCGTGAAAAACATTTGTGGTCAAACAATAGTATTTAAATAATTCTTGCATGTGGTCTAATTGGATCATACATACTCGGTGATCAGCTGGCCTTTGAATTTGCTGAAGAAACAGCACACTGTTTGATGAAATCGTTTTGATCCGAATTGTTTGATAGAGAAACCAAGATACCGGATTATTTTTAAACATATTTTGCATCGGCTTGTCTACGTCGCTCCTAAGGCACCTGCCTCAAACCGCACAGTCATCAACAGAGAGGCCTTTTTGTGTGGCCGTATGTGGCAATGACGTACGGCTCACGCTGAATGTTTTCGATACGGATCGAGGGCAACGTGTGCCCCGCAGGGCACTCGGCCAGGGATGGTAAGCAAGACTGTGTGATTATTCAGCCTTGCCGATTGGTCACAGACACACAGTTGAGTCCGCCCTGCTAACAGTGTCCCTGCTCTGCTAAATGAAATGAAAGTGAGATTTGTTCCTGAGTAAACACGCACATGCACGCATTGGTACTCATCCCATGACTTTGGTAAGATCTGAGACAAACTTTGCATCTTTCTGATAGAGCAGTCACTCCCCCGTCCCGCAACCTCACAAACATTTTCCGAATACGTACAAAAATAGTCAGTGGGCCTTGGGGGACATTGGAGTGTAATGTCTTAAATATGTGTCAAAGTGAAAAGGTCAAACCCATTTGCCCACAATGCCCAAATCCAAATTAATTAGGCTGAATGCTGTCAAACCCTCGAGCAGAGTCTGTCAGGCACATGAGCGAGTCTGTTGCACAACCAATGAGATATATTTCAAGAGTTCTGTCAGCCACTCTGCCTTTGGGCTGATAATAATTCACTGACTTGAATGACAATGTCAGTGGGGTGTTCATTTAGTCGTTTGTATTGCTATGGAACCGCGCTGGATGGAGCTTCATACTGTCAGGTCACCAAAAGTGACATCCAAGCATGTCCTCTTTATTCAAAGAAATGTTTCCTTCGTGTCAAAAGTAATATTTTTTGATTTCTATGGTGGGGAAAAATCAGCCACTCGTGATTAGGAAAGCCACGTCTCAGTCAAAATAGAACAGAGAAATTAACACAACAGGCAGTTAAAATGTAATCAGTCATAGTGGTGACAAATGGCGGAAATTTGATCAGAAACACTGTTAATAGCGAGCGCCGGAATGCAGGAAAGGACGAGTCGGCGCGACATGAATCAATTACCAATTAGGAGCATAACAACGCAGAGTCAACGTGAACACGATTGAAACTTTTTTTAATTCCTCTTTCCAGACCATCTCAAAAACCCACAAACAGAGGCTGAATCGTTTTACCTGGCTCAGGCATAACTGAGGAAAGCCAAATTTATGCCAAAAGCACCGCGCGCTAACAAAGCGGGCAATCGCTTGTGAGTCAGCCATCAACCAACTATACACTGGACACATTAAAACTTAAAAGTATGTTTCCTGTAAAAGAAAGTGAGTCTGTTGAATTTACCCAACACATGCAAGTCATGGCGGGCATGGTCAGGATGGTACCACCTCTGCCTCCATTTGGGCCAGGAAAAAAAAAAAAAAAACCTGCTCACCTTTACCAAAGCGATGGAAAGAGGTTCAGGCCGTGAATCCCAAAAGACAGATTCGTATGAGAAACACATATAGGAGCAAATGTCACGGCCTCTTTCGTGACCAGATCAATAATCTTCAACGATCGACACAGCAAAATCAAAATCAGAAGTGGACAGAAAGCATTTTGTCCGCCAATTTCGTGAGAGATGTAACCAAACAGACTGGGACAACATTCATCCTGCAGCAATCGAATGACCCAAAATGGAATTGGAAGGTTATTGGACTGCCCGTGTCAATCTCCAGACTTAAACTTTACTCTTCAGTGAGTAAGCCCCAAAACAAACTTAACACCTGGGAAAGCAAACGAAACAAAGAACGCCAAAGTTTGGTCATGTCATATGAAATACCTAAGTCTTTTTCAGCATTTTGAAGTCACCCCCCGCCCCTCCGCCCCTCCAAAAAATGTTTTTCATTCGTTACAGGTCAGGTCATGCTTGCAGATGTAGATAGGGGAAAATAAAAGAACATTTGCTGTTCTCTCGTTTTATGTTTTGGTGTCAAACTGAAACGTTTTCTCTCTGGTGCAAAAATCAAGACCCTGGTCTCACTGTTCCAATACTTTGGGTGGAAAGTGTCCACTCTTGCGTAGGGTTTTCACTGCAGGTGACAACCAAACATCTTGAACCCTTTCAGGGACAGCGGTTACTCCGGTGGACAGCTGATCATGTTATCAGGTTCCAGGGTGCATGAAAGGGTTAAAGCCCATGACTCTAAAAAGTGTGTATCAACGGTGCTACTCAGACTCCCTCTAGTGAAACGACTGAGTTCAAACTGCGTGTTATCGTGGCTTCAACTTTTTAAATTCCGGTGCAGCGCAAATTTCCCCAGTGTGGGACAAGTAAAGGTTGTCTTATCTTATTTGTTCAGTACAGCTCAGTTGTTCTTTACTTTTACAACTGTTTCAAACATTTCAGTAAAATTTGTGTTTCACTTTGTCAAACTGAACTAATACAAGTAGTTTGTCGTACCCCCCCCCCCCGCCCCTCCAATATTTACACACAGTCTTGATTTTCAAACTGCATAATTTCACCGCGGCTTGCCAAAATATGAAATAGTTGAGAGCCAAGGATTGTTTTAGATGGTACTCGGTGTAAAAAAAGTCTGAGAACTGCTGCCTGAAGCTAACCACAAGTCTTACAAAGCAACATTGCAAACATGAAAATAATTTCATGGATGTATCAACATACTTGCGTGCGCACTCAACACAATTATGATAGAGATGTAAAAAAACCAACCAAACAAACAAACAAAAAAGACTTTACCAGCATCTGTGTTCAAGCTTCTGTCCTTGTCTGTGTCCCCTCTTGCGAGCGTGGAGAAAAAAGAAGAGAAAGGAGTGAGGAGGAAAGAAAGGAAGGAAAGGAGGGAGGAGGGGAGGGATCGGCCAGCGGAAAGAAGAGACAGCTTTCCGGTTTTACTCTCACAGCCTCGAGTCGATATCTTGTCAGGAGCTTCCCAGATTCAATTTGCTCGACTCTCGCCACTCGGCTTTTTAAATGGCGCTGCCACAGACAAGTGCGGCCCCACTCGAGCGCCTCCGTGTGACAATTCCGTTCGCCATTGGCTCTTTGGTGTATGTGGCTCCCCATTTGACATTCGACAGAATTGGCAGGTGACGCTGATCCGGGAGGGAGCGTGACCATTACACGGAAGAGCCGCTAAGAAAACATTCACAGTTTTTTTCTTGCAAACATCGTGCCCTCTGTTCTCACTTCTGGAATTATTGGAGCGACAAGTAGCTCCAACGACTCGATCAATGGTCATGAAAAATAATGGACACTCTCTTCACGACCGCAGTTTACAAGTTCAGAATTGGCGATTTACATGAGCAACACGTTTTGGCAAGGTTGCTGAATGAACCAACCGCCTTCGAAATCATGTGAAACGCGAGTCGACGGGAACCTATCCGCAAGGGATGCGTCGACGCCACTTTTTCGTTTTTTAAGACTGTGTAGGAGTGTTTTGAGTAGTATTCGTCGGTAACAAGTAGTGATAATGCCATTACGCCTTACGATGTGAAGAAAATGGGTTATTTTTGTCAAATAGTGCTTGAAAATACAAAATTTCTTGAACACCATTCATTTGCTTACTTTAATTTGGACTATTTTTTAAAAATAATTAGCACCCTGTTTTTTTCACGCAATTGTCTGATGTACGGGGAGCCCGGTGGACCAGTGGTGAGCGCGTCAACCTCAAAGTGCAGAGGTGCAAGGTTTGATTCCGGCCTCCCTGTGTGGAGTTTGCATGTTCTCCCCGTGCCTGGGTGGGTTTTCTCCGGGTACTCGTTTCCTCACACTTTCCCAAAAAAAAATTCACGGCAGGTTGATTGAACACTCCAAATTGTCCCTGGGTCTGAGTGTGAGCGTGGGTGGTTCTTTGTCTGTGTGTGCCCTGCGATTGGTAGCAACCGGTTCAGGGTGTCCCCCGCGTACTGCCCGAAGACGGCTGGGATAGGTTCCAGCACCGCCCGCGACCCTTGCGAGGATAAAGCGGATCGGAAAATGGATGGATGGATGTCTGATGTAAGAAGAAGAGTAAAAAGTAGCCAGCATCTTTGTAGAATTTGTAGTGGAATGTGCCCTTCAATTTCCTCTAAAATCCTCCGCAACAAAAATACTCACAAACAAAAAAACAACAACGACAACAAAAACCCCAATAAAATGCAGAAGGTCCATGACATATCTGCTGCCCACACTGCGCTTCTCACCAATAATCGCCAATTTGCACTCATTTTTCGGGCAAGTGTCAGCTTTTAAAACATCACGGTCATTTTGACCTGCTGACATCTCGGAATTTTGGCCTGGAAAGTTAGAAACTGTTTAATAAAGGTAATTTTTGACCAAGTTTTTGTTCGGCGATATCCCACAAAAACGTTCCCCCAAAACGTCACCACACGTTTTGGGTAAGTCTTGTCACATTGCTCATATCAGTCCGTTTCAATTTACAGGTTGAGCGAAACGGCGTACGGCTTTCTCGACCGAGAGGTATTCTCAGTGACGTCCGAGCATGAGTATGAAATCACACCATGAGCTCGTCACTCAGTACTGGAGTGGGTTATCTTCACGGGAAGTTGTGGTTTCTTTCAAGGACATGTGTCAAACCGAATTTCTTCAGATGTTTCATAAGATCGCGTGTGTTGAAAGTGCTATTCTTTTCCTCTCCTGTTGACATTTTATTTTACTAAAGACAGTAAAGACAATTTGCAGTGTTTGTATTTTAGCGAGAAACGCAGTTGGCACACATGATTTGCCTTTGTGGGCCACATAAAACGGTGTGGCAGGCCCGATCTGGCCCCGGGCCTTGAATTTGACACTCGAGTTTTCGAGCATAACACAGTCGGCTTTAATGTTGTTATTCGTGTTTACCTTGCAATTATTGCCACACCTTTGACTTGGCTCTGGCTCCTCCTGGCCACAAAGATGTGTTGCTTGTGTTGTGCGCACCTTGGCCTCCAGGGGCAGTGTGGTGCGCACACGCAGCTAATCCGTTTTTCTCATCCCTAATCTACAGTAATGTACAGTAAAAAAAACAGAGTGTCAAACCATACCTGTGATTACTCACATTTTTTTGCCAATGTTGTGATCAAATACACATTATTGATATCTTTAGATTAAAATGTTGATGCTAATTCTGTTAGCCTGTTTCAAGCATTCCACTTAGTGTTATCATTAAGCAAGCAGACGTTTTAAGACAAAGCTAAGTCGCCGCAGAATGTTTAACCCTCAAATTCCCAGTCTTGACCTGATTTGATCTCTTCCAAGTTTCTGTCTTGACTTGATGTCAGTCTTGGTCTCAACTTGATCTCAAGGTATTGGTCTTGACCCGGTCTCGGGTCTTCAAAGCCTTATTCTGAACTTTTTTGTTTTTTAGATTTTTGATATTTTTTGGCCTCAAAGTCTTGGTCTTGACTGCTTCAAGTCTTAGTCTTGACTTCGCCTCAAAGTCTTGGGGTTTTGAGTTCAAATTCTTGTTGTCTTGGCCATAACTCCACAATGTCTTATGGTTTCAACTTAATCTCAAAGCCTTGTTGTCTCAGTGCTCACTCCGCAATGTCGTGGATGGATGGACAACACAAAGCATGTTTCCCCACTAGTGAATAATACACAGAAAACTCGAGATGCCCTTCAATTCAAGGAAAGGAACCCGAAATGTGCTTGTTTGTTTCTTGCAACTGAGGTGAACCCTGCACAATTTTTGGTGATCTGCTGCACCCCAATGAACTGGAGCGGGTAATACAGAGCAGTGTCTTATATACAATACAATACAATACAATACATCCTGATTTATATATGTCCTATATGGAGGTGCTGTGCACTTGCCAATAACAAACGAAGGTGACATTCCGTGAAAAATGAAATCATTAGAAAGTCGCTTAGAATCCATTTCGCAAGATGTTTTGGTTTACATAAATGATCAGGCTCGGGGGATATTTGTCATGATTGTAAAACCAAAACGAACAAGCAAATTGTGCCAGCTCTGTACAAATATTTTTTTTGCGGCATGGATCTCAGCGGAATATGTGACCCTTCACCCACTGACTAATACACACACACACACACACACACACACACACACACACACACACACACACACACACACACAAGCACACACACACTGTCATTAAAGTCACAGCAGAAGCATGAAACGAGCCACACGATTGGACGTGTATCATAATTTATGGTACCAATAGAGTTCATTCTCATTCTGCAAATGCAATATTCGTCAGAATAGTGTTAAGACCGATGGGTTTAGTTTAAGTGGGTTCTAGGGCTGAAAAAAAGTCAGTTGCAATTTCGCGGAGTTTGAAAGAGTCCACATTAAAGCATGTCAAGATGCTGGATGGTCTCTGGGTGTTATTTTATGACAACTAGTCTAATAAATGAACTGTATAATAATTGAAGAATTTGCAAGATTCTTTCTTATGCGGCCAAATAGCACATTTGTGATGGGGCCTTGTCTCAACAAGAATGAAGAATGTGACTTCCTCATCAAAGGAACTGCAACCTGGAACCTCTCGTCTATAATTGTCTTGCTGGGAGTATGTGCACAGAGCCAATGTGCACACAGCCATTGTTGCGTGCTTCCTGTTGTTCAAGTTGATCTCGTGTGCACTTCTGGGACAGGGGTCACCGCTCTCCATCCACCCCACGCTGTGCGCTCCTCTTCTACCCGCTACTTGTTATTTTTTTAAGTGGCCTTTCACGCATGTCGGGCAAAGAAGAGGTCAAAAGGGAGGATGATTTGGGTTCTTGTCGACCCATCGACAACAAATAATTAAAATTTTGTGACGGGGCAAAGGCTCCCGTGTGTGGCAGCATACCGGAAAGGCTGAGTTGAGTCAAGCCTTGATTCTTTTGCTTGTCGCGGAGTACAATCCGGCTAACGGTGCAATTCCTACCACCAGGTGAAGGTTACTTGCACTAAACAGTAATATTAGTTTTTCTTTGCAGATAGATAGATAGAGAATACTGTATTGTAATACTCGCAGGCATCAGTCGGTGTTCATGCTGCGGCACAGAAGATATGTGTCAGTCCAATTATGATTTCAACACGTGAAACTGGTTTAAATTACACAACTGCCCATTGAATGTTAATATCACGAACATCAATATCTACATACCGACTTTAATCAAGTCTACCACTGCTCGCTCGAACAAATTGTAATCCCTCCAGCCGTAGTAGGACAGACACAAGCCGCCCGTCCGCTTTCAAATCACGTTCAACAAAATAAAACTTGTCATTTGCCACAAATGACACTCAACCCGCAGATTGGCTCATGGGTAAGCCAGTTAGCAGCTGGCCCTGTACTGTTGCCCTGGCAAGAACCAGATTGATACGTGAAACATTCAAAAGGAGTTCTCTACAGCATCAATCTGGGACAGTTCCAACGTGATCTGCTCGGGAAAGGCGGGACATTGAGAACAATACTTGCAGCAACTTGTGCACACCGACCAAACTTTTGTTCCGACCAACCCCCCGCCAGCATGCGCCTTGTTTTGACTAGCTGAGTTGTTATCTCGATGATTGGCACAGATGGCATCCTGGCGCTGAATGATGGTTGTCACTGTTGCACTGTAACTATGCGGTTAAAGGCCTTCTTAAATAACACGACGTTGATTTGTGAACTAAGCCGATTGCCAACCGGGAAAAGTTTTCGTCACAACCGCATATTCCGCCCCGAGACACACTGTTGCTTTGTGTTGGCTGTAGTACAAATCAGCAGTCTTGGGACAATATTGATTCATGGGGTGTTGTGACCACACAAACACTGCGAGAATTCCGCTCGCAGGCATGGTTACAACACTGTCAACCTCCTAAATTAGCAGGCCTGAGGATTTCACGGTAACGATCGTTTCCGGTAGCGTGTCGTTTCCGTGGGATTATTTTTACGGGTTGCTTTCTTAGCCTGCACGCTGAAAAAGCACGTGGATGAAAGATTTAGATTGTGGCGAGAAAAAAACAACACCAAAAGGTGTATTACTTACAACATTTAAGAAATGGGAATGCCTGTCGGAATTTTTCATTCGAATCATCCGAAGAAGGGCGTATCACTAAGGTCACGTGTAATGTATGCGCATAACACAAAAGAGAGATTCGACAGGAAGCACGATTCCGAGGCAAGTGCTGAAGTTGGTCATTAGATCTCTTGGCTAATCGCTATGAAAAATATTATGAAACAGTCTTAGCTATTCTATAATTTACAAGTTGTCGACATGGTAACTTTAAGAATAAATCATTCGTCACAAGCTGTAGTAATACTAATGTTAACTGTCGGTAGAAGTAACAATGTATGGTAGATTCTTTGGTCAAATTGATCGTAGATTACACAGTGCGTCATCTGGGGGTTGCAAAGAGGACGTCAAGCCATAGCAATACCCTTAAGTCTATGTATAGTAATAAGGTCATTTTAAAAAAAAAAGATTCATCACATGATTTTAATCATTCAATTCCTATTACATGCTTTTGTATTAATAAAGGGGGTGAGGTGAGTAGCCATTGATATTATGGTTATTTACATCTCAGGTTTAGCTGTGGCCCATGGTGAATAGCCAGATTTTGTGGTATGCTGTATTCATGATGCCATATGAGTACAATTAAAATGTTAAACAACATATTTTGATCCATTTATTTTATTGAATAAATCTGAAGTACACAGCTGCTGATGTAATTATGTTCATTGTTAGCGCATAGTTTTCAAACATTTACCCTTTAAATATTATACTTTTGAGTATCGGAATTCTTGATTATGAATATCAGTTCAAAAAGAAAAATGGGTTCCCATGATGAACGTTTACGGAACCCAAAATTAGTTACCGTGGTTTCCCATTGGGCAATCCAACAGAACCGAAAAATGGTTTATGTTAATTTCTGAAATCCTCAGGCCTGAGTCAGATGTCATTCGCATTCAGTCACAATTGTACAAAGTTGAGTATAGTGACTCCAAGTGGACAAAAATAATCCCTGCACCTCACGTGCATATATTATGGTATTCTATGCATGGCGCTTTAAAATACATATGAATCAAGCAAATATCTGGGTCTGGAAGTTTCAATATATTTATAGCAAGTTGTGGGCGGTAAAAATATATAGATTTTATTCAAAATCTTTCATATGGTCTCTCTTTATCATACGAATTCACAAATTGCGAGTGGTTCTGGAATGTATCCCCAATGGGGGAGGGGGGGGTGTCACTGTATTTCTATTTCCGCTTCCTGTGGGAGAATTTGCTTCTAAATTGGGAGAACCGAGTGTTCACCAACGTGCAGACGCTTCTTGACACTGCAAGCAGGCGTCCTCAGTGAACCTAACCCCCTTTTTTTTATTTTTTGAACAGCGGGAGGAAACCACAATACCCATGGACGTAAGCACAGGCAGAACATCCATCATGCAAACCCATGGGAAGAACTGACTCACGTATGAACAAAACCTCGAAAGGTGCCACTCCCTGCTGAAAGCGACTCTGGAATCGGGCGATGCACACAAGAATATATGTGAGGACAGAGGATGCAAAAGTGAATATGGGTACAGTTGTGTCACGAGCCATTTCCTGTCTGGACTGACGTCACGATTGAGAACTTAGGAAACATCACTATGACTAATAACACGCACACAAACACGTAAAAGGGGCATCAACGTATGACTTTTATTTATTTATTTTTTTAACCGTACCTGCTCTGATGAGTCCTGTCAGATTCAGTGGCTGAAAGTTGGGACACAAAAACGTGGAAAAGTAGGCATAAACCTACGCCTCGGAACACTATGAAGGCTGAAAGGGGGTGCTGGTTGTCATCAACACGAAAGGGCAAGGGAAAGGGTGGCGCACATTTATTTCGCAACGGACAGCGACGCTTTCATAGCGTCACAAGCTAAATTGTTTTGATGTGTGGCGCTAAGCGGCTAACGGCTTAACAGCCAGCTGCGGGAGTTAGCAGCTAAACTAGCAAGGAATTGAAAGTATGTAAGGGGCGGGCTCGGACGAGACGTCATTCATGACAAAAAAAAAAACATAAAAGAAAGACCCGACTCACCCACTGGAGCCTCTTTTTGTTTAGACGAACGTCTCCCGTTGACACCTTTGTCGAACCTGCCGCTCCCAGCACTCTTCTTGCTCGACGCCATGTTCGCACGCTCCTTGTTGACTCGCCGCCGCCGCCAGCCTGCAAGCGGGCAAGACCTCTCCCGACCTGCCTCGCGGGGCGCCGAAGCTCCGCCCATGCTGGCTTCGCTATAGCCAATGGGAGACGACGTCTCTGCACGGCAGCCAATCGTAATAGGTCCGTTGCTTGGACACGAACGTGGCGTCATAGAGTTTAACAATAGTTGTTCATACAAATGTATACACGCAATGACATTCATGCAACACAAAGAAAAAGCGCAGTAAAAATCAATGAAATATGAACAAATGACATTTAAAAAAATTAATACAATTCAAAATGCATTAAAATGAACTAATACAAATTTAAATAGCTTTAAAATACAGCATTTTCAAGAATAAAGAAAAATAAGTCAAAATAAACTCGGCTAAAAGTAAAACGTGAAAATAAAAATTATTAAAAATGATAAATTGGTGATAATGATAAAAATGTAAATGAATTAAAACAAATACAACAAAGAGACCTTTCGACATTTTATTTAGAAAATCATGAACATAAGAAATTTCATAATACAAAGGGTGGTCTCAAGCAGGGACCGGCAACCTATACAGGCATTTACAGCCCGGTGTGCTATTCTAAAAAGACATCCAAACCCTCAGCAGAACTGCCACAAAAATCCTAAAAATAAAAAAAAATAAAAAAACTCAAATGCTCATGAAGTACAAATCATAAACTAGAGATGGGGACACTAAATTGTTGGATACAAAAAGCTATGCTTGCCATTACAAATCCATTGGCTATGCAAACATCACATGCAGTTTAATAAACAAGGACTCCAATTTCTGTCCCTCTCCGCCTCCCCTCTAATTTCATTTCTTCTGTTCCACTCATGGGCTCTCCAGCTGGATTTCTTCATGCACATTGGCAACCAGATCCTGGTAGAGGCTCGCTGCCTTGTCACAATCATCCAGATTGAGGCCCTGTGGATGAAAGTCAACATCGAATAATCATCATATTAAACAAAATATGTACAGATTTGGAAAACACTTGTCAAGGCCTTTACTCAGGCTAGTCACGTAATATGTTTTTTTTTTTTGCAAACAGATTTTTCACCTTGCTGGAAGTTAACTTTGACCTAATGTAATCACCAGAAATGCCACAAAAAAAAAGAGTTGGAGTGACTGCCACTCTTCTACGTACATGTCCACTATGTGGAACAAATACAAATATTCATGTTGGACATTGATGTGACCTTGACTTTTTCACCCTTTCCTTGGCACTTAGACTTGCAAAAATATATGATATTACGGAAGTTACACGATTAGTATCAAGTGTGTCTGTGCTGGTTTACAACCAGCACCGTTGTGCCTTGTTCGCCACTTTTGCTTCCTGCTTGGAGCTTGGGCCAGTAACTAACTCATCATTCCAACCTGATAGATGTTCTCCTCTTCCCTCTTTGCCTTCTTTTGCTTCAGTGCTTGGAGTTGCTTTGACTGAGAGAAGAGAAAAAAAAGTCACAATTGGTGCTTTATCTGTTGGAAATTGTTGGTGTCGCTAAATTCGTAACCAATCTGACTTTGCAGAGGAGTGTGGCCGAAGGCACCAGGACGCACAGAAGTAGTAAGATTCCCTCGGCCATCAGGATGCTGTCTTTGGTCTTTTCGCTGAGGTTTATCGTCTTCTTCAGCGGCTCTGGATGCACACAAACATTTGGGCAAATTTCAAGGTATTTCAGCATTTATCCCGTAAAGTGAATTCGTTCAGGTAGAATCATCCTGGCAATTCCGGATATTGCCATCATAGACACAGAGAAATTATGCAAAAATGCCACCAGCGTCACCAGTGAGAGGCCACTGAGACTCTCAGGTTTACTTGAAATTGCTTGATTACACAAGTGAACCATTTAGGGTGGAAAACAAAGTCTACGATACGAACGACATAAATGGACAATCAGACTGTTAGGTAATGCTTATGGCATAATCCTCCATAGGTTGTTTCACATCAGCAGCTAATGAGATTAGGACAAAAAGCTGTGTTTTCACTGTGAGAAGGACCTCCACTTCGCACGCTTGCAGCTTTCACAGAAAAGAGTGGGAGTGATTTTAATGAGCGCATGGTGCAGAGTGCAGATTAGCTAGACAAGCAAATACAGATGCTAACACTGACACAACAACGCGGAGTGACTTTAACAGGATTTATGGCTTATGAGGTGTTAGCACTGCTTAGCATGCCTTTGACTCCCATCTTTGCACGCCACCTCACTCGGAGAGGACTGAAGAGGACTTGACATTCATTAACTTTCAGCAAAACCTAAACTGGCCTTTAATGCTCCCCGTTTTCATTCTTCTTTTAAATGTACACCGTCAAACAAAACGGTGTGTCACCATCTTGTGGTCGTCCATAGAATTACGCCCTGAACACAATTCCAGGACAGTGAACCTGGAAGCTGTAGGAGGGCAGAATGCTGTACATACATATTGCAGTCTGTGTACATACATGTGCCTTTGAGTGGCGGGGCTTGGCAAGGTACCGTGTGACATCGAGTCTGCGTGAGTGTTTGGGTATGAGCTGTGGCCAAAAGCAGCTGCTACATGAGCGTGCTCAATGTGTGTTTCACACGTCGACTGGCTTTCAAATGGCTGAAAATTACAACGGTCAAAGCATTCCACTAAGGAAATACATCTAAAAAAGATCAAATCAAAAGGAAAAATGCGTTTCCTTACTGTAAACCTGCAGGTAGGTGCCTGGCGTGATGATGGTGGTGTCGTTGAACCAACATCTGTACAGGCCCGTGTCGGCCACTTTCACCTCACCAATGGTCAGGGTCCCGCAGGTGACCCCGGCGTACGTTCTGAAGCCCGACCTCACTCGGTCTGACGCAGGCACCAACAGCGGGACGGCAGTACCATTGTCGGGCTGGCGGTGCACGAGCCATATGGTTGGGAGGGAGGCTGTGCCGGTCCGGTAACAGCACTCCAGCACGGCCTGATGGGACAAGTGGACCCTCAGCCAAGGCCTGTCCACCTCCAAGGATACCTTCACCCCGATGGAGACCACTAACACAGAAGGTACACTTAAACTGATAAATCTGCAAATTGAGCTTTCCCACAGGAAGTAACTTTCATTATCTCATTTCAGAGATGCTATAAAAAAAGTGGAAATACTGTACCAATAAAGAAAATATCAATCAATAATATTTTTTATTATTTACAACATTCAGTTCATAAAATTAGTAATTTGAAAAGTACATGTAAAATGTTACTTTTTGATTCGTACGATTTTATATACAGTAAATTAACGTGTACCCACAAAATTGTTGCCATTTTACTATTTTGTGTTTTAGTATTCACACCACAAAAAAGGATGAAAAAATGTATAAAACAGATTTGCATGTGTTTTTCTTATACAGGGCTAAATGAATGCAACAATTTTTTCAAGACTTGATTATGTAAATATTTTGACTCGCATTACCATATATGGTCAAACTCTTCGCAGCAGGTCACTTAAGTGTAACACAAAAGGCGAAATATAATGTTTTAAAAAAATCGATTCTAAACTATAAATTGACCTTTACGTGATTGTTCGATCTTTACATTTACCACCGCTACTTTTATTTTACTTCCCTATTTTCAAAATATTAAAAAAAAAGTGATTGGACTTACCTGCTACGCAGCCAATGATAAAAATGCTGTAGACTGTGGCCATCGTGATGATGTAAGATCTTGGATGAATACACGGCGAAGAGAAACAACTTGTAACAAAATGATCTGTCTATTTGTTCTGACAGGATTTACGCTTCGGTAACCATGAAACATTTGCATAAAAGTCCCAGCTGCTATAAAAAATAAATAAATAAAAGGATCAGAATGAAAACAAAGACTAGAACTATTTGAACTTAATAATGCCAACTGCTAGCATGATTTCCGTTTTCAAATGGGAACTGAAAAAAGGCAAACAGACAAACACTTGGTATGTTGACATTAAAAAAATGAACTGATTAAATGCTAACAAGTCTATAGTTTAATATTTAACATTTAGAAAAAAACTGATTAAATGCTAACAAGTCTATAGTTTAATATTTAACATTTAGAAAAATAGAGTGCTAACGTTCCTCAGTCGGATTCTATTTCAAATTAGAACTGCTAAAAAGCTAACATGCTATCGGCTGGTACACTAACTAGCATACAGCGAGATAACAACTTGGATAGTGTGTGTGTGTGTGTGTGTGTGTGTGTGTGTGTGTGTGTGGCTAACAAAGAAAAGCAGAAGCACCTCACGCACCAAAATGACATTTTCTATCAATCCCTCTCAGTAATGTGTCATTTTCAACGTTTAATGTGTTTACCGTCATATATTTGCTTATGACATAGCATCAAAGGATTAAATCTGGTGTTTTGACCTTGTGTGTTCACAGTGATTAACGTCTATTGTCAACAAGGTGAAAAATTCTTCAAGTAGCATTCTGGAACAGATTGTGTTCATAAGAGTTTCGAACTACTCCAACTTTGTCAAGAGAAAATCTTTATCTGCTGAATGAGGAAAACAAAAAGTGCAGACTCCTAAGTCATTGGTATAAACAATAATAATAAAAAAGAGACACTTACTTCCCCAATTTATTAAAAAAAAAGAAAAAAACTACGTACCACATTTGTTTTCCTTAAAGTGTACATCATTTAAACAGCCTCAGTAAAATCAAAACCCAAAATACACAGTATACTTCTTGCATAGTCATCACGTATAAGAGACAAATATGGTACATTCTGGAAATATAATACAAGTTGCGAGCCCTAAATTCTCATTGTTTGGCCAATTCCAATACTCTATAGAAATGGCAGCATGTATTATGTGAAGCCCCCACCCCCCTCCCTCCATCTAACAATACAATAATAGTACGTTTTTGACCTCAAGTGTTTGGCACATCCAAATCAAATTCATACGTCGCACGATCAAGGTCTTCTCCAGTCTGCGTTTGGACTGCGTCACAATTTGCCGCCAAAACTGATTTTACATTGGGCACCTTTCTGCTCTATTTTGGGTTTCTTTCAAATACATTCGAAATAAGAACTCTGTTTATTTGCGGGGCAGGCACCACGTGGAGTTAAAAAAAAAAAAAAAGTACATGAAATAGGAGCATCATTTTTGCCTCTTTGGTCCTGCACTGCTTAAGAAAATCACCAATGCAAATGGTGTTGAAGACTCATGTCAGTCATCTGCAAGTGTAGCAGCGCCGAGCCCTCCGGTTTTACCATTGTGGACTTAGCCTATTTCCACAAATAGCGGCCCGGCCTTCTGTGGAATTACAATGCCGTATTTGGAAGACGGCATTGATGAACTTTATGTCTACATTCGTTACATTTGTTATGTAAATGGAAGCTTTAATTGTCAGACGTGCATCAAACAAACCGTCACAATTTCTACTGCTAAAATTAGCTTTGCTAAGTCTCTACACTTTGATTTCTCAGTTTTGGTAGGTGCTGCTGTTTTTGGTTAGCAGCGGAGTTGAAATGGTTGTTGATATTAGGTCCGTACAGGCATTTATTTTTCTTCTGTGATTAATGGTAAGCGTCACATCTGATACGATCAGCTTTAATACTGCAAAAGTCTGTAGTAAGACGCGACACTACCGTTTCTTTCCCCGAGGGAGGCATTCAGTTTTCCGTAAGCGGATGACACCGGTCGATCTATTGGAAGGGGTGACCACAATTTGAGAAAATATGGTATTGCGTAACTTTCCTATCCTACTCTGACATTGTCCACTGTTCTGATAACAATAACTATCGACTTGCATCTTGTTCACTCAAACCAAACTACTCTGACACGTTTTTGCTCCGTTGCATTTGTTCTACTTCCTATGTTAGCCTTCACGTCTACGTCAACGCTCTCGGTTGGGCCCAGCGCTGCCTCGCGTCCACTCGGGGCAAAAACCAAAAAGGAATAAATAACAGTCAACACAAAGAAGATCTCCATTATTAACAGCTTTGTTGGGTGAGCCCTATTTCCTAAAGACAGTGACGTTTGTTACGATCAGAAGCCTCCAGAAAATCAACAACCCCACACATCCACACGCGCTGTTTACTCGCCGTCACTTTCAACGCTAAGAATAAAAGATGTGCATTTTCGTTGTACTTTGGCAAAGAAATAACACCGTGCAGCCTTTTGTAACAACGGCTTCCTAAGGCAACTTGCATGTTTTCTTTTATTTTTTGGGGGAGGGGGGGAGGGGGGACTATGAGTGATTTCTTGTGATTCCTTCAGCGGTGAATATGTGAAGATCAACCGCTTCTTCTGAGGCAAGAAAAAGTATTGATTCTGTCACTTGTTTTTGGAATCTCTCCGCAAATAAACACTCAAAAGAGGTCTTATATTTTTGGTTCTTTCAAATCCGTGCAACGCGACACTATGTTACGTTGCACTACGCTAGGCAGCATAATGCTATACGCCACAAAATGTAACATGCAGTAATATTACGTAACAGAACGTTAACACCGTGCTTTGTCATGTTACGGAGCACAGCGCTACGCAAATCAGCGGAACGCTGCGCTACATAACAGTCGGCGATGCAACATCATGCTACAATGTGGCGTACACAAGCACACACATCCCACAGCACTGGCCGCAAAAGCCATTTTCCTCCCCTCGCTCAGCTTCCAGCAAATATCCAGGACCCATCCGAGCGTTTTCTTTGTGAAGGGAAAGCTTGCGGACGTTTTCGGAAAAGCTTCTTGCACTCCAAATCAGCACCAGTTAAAAAAAACAACAAAAAAAAAAGTCTAAACAGAAGAAGAGACAAGGAGTCATCATTCAAAGCTTCATTTGAAGGCATCACAGTTACGTAGGAGCAGGTTTCTACACACCGCACTTTTAGATAACAATTAAAATAACACGATTAGAAAATTATTTAACGCGATGCAGCCAGTAAGAGAGGTGGTGGCGGAGTGATTAAGGAGTATAGATGTATAGATGATCATAGCGAAATGTAAATGGATGGACATGTGTAACATGGATACATTTAATAAAACGAGAATTGTTGAAAAAAATAAATAAAAATTGGTCGCTACTGTGGCCTACTTTACATCCAAACCAGGCTACTTCCTGTCACTTCACTGTTAGCGCCAAATATGGGCATGCTTGTGCCATGCTGCTGTCAGGCCTGCCTTTCGAATTGTCTCACCTAATGGCCAGCAGGTGGTGTGATGGCATCTTAGGCAAAGTCACCGCCCTCCAACGAGAACTTGGACAAAGCCTCCTGTAGCCTGTGATGTTCCTCTTCCACCGTCTACAAGGCACAAAAACAAATCAATAGCACCTTCCTTCAGAGGCACAAACCCACTCACACAACGCAACCTCTTACATCCTCTTTGTCACACCTCGACCGCCATTTCCACCCAAGTCCAATTTCAGCAGGCAATTTTCAGCGGCGTACTAACAGCCAGCGTTTTAATGCTTTTTTTTTTTTTTTTTCGCTCCTGTCAGCCATTTTGCTATTATTGTGAGCCTAGATGGTATTTTTCTCCCCAAATCACCTGGAGTTTCTTGATTTGCTGCTCCAGGCTGGCGAGCCTCCGGTACACTTCCACCATCCTCTCCGGGGACAACACCAGGCTGGCAGTCTCCGAGGGAAGGCTCTCCGTGTCCCCCTTGGGGCCGAAGCCTTCTTTCTCCTCCTCGGGGCCGCGCTCCGCCGGCTGGCCTTCTTCTAAGTAAGCCGAAGCTCAATTAGCACCGGGAAAAATCGCAGTGGTTCTCAAAATCTTTCCACGTAGCTCTCAAAAGGCACCAGACTCCTCCCACGCACTTTAAATATAATTACACTTCTTAAAAACACACTTTAAACATTACAAATGTATTTCAATAAAAAAAGTACAGTGCAAATTGGCTGCATGTGGCTTTGAGAGGCAGAGCCTGATGCCGTTGCATGTGATTGTCTGGAATGTGAGCTGTGGTCAACAGCAATGTGGTCAAAAAAACAATGACGGGAGTCTGAAACTCATTAATGGCCTTTTCATTCGTTTCAATGGTGAAAGATGACTTGCGATATCCGTATCTCAAGGCACCAACAAATACCTGTTGATTGACAGCTGTCCATTTCTAGACTGGGCTCCTCCCCATTTTCTCCATCCTCCAAAAGGCTGATGCTCCCAACCAGCAGCCTCTTCAGCAGCATGACTAAAACACGAGGGGTTGGGGGGCTTGTTAAGTGATGATGTCACGGACACGTGGGACACCAGAGACTCACCTTCATCCAGGGCGTTGGCGGCAATCTTTTCTTGACAGCTGTTGGAGTGTCCGAGGAGGTCGAAGCCTTTGTCAGACAGGAAATCGATCAGAGAGTGCCGGGGATCGGATGACTTGTCGTCGCTCAAGCCGTCCTTATCGCGATCTGCGCACACACCATTTGAACTGCGAGTCACCGAGCGAACAATGCCAATATGGGCGGGTGGACTATCAATCTGTGTCTCACCAGCACTACTCTTCAAACCGCCATTTTCTGTGGGGCTCTGGGGGGCGCTCAGCCTGAGACACACACACACACACACACACAGAGTCATAATCTGGGGTGCATACACATGGACTTGGAAACACAAGTACACATGGATACAACACACACACACGTACGCACACATGCACACACTCACCCAGAAGGATTAAATCCGGCTCCACTTCCAGGAGGGAGGGTGATCCTCATGGGTGCTCCGCTCCTCTTCAGATCATCTACAGCTGATTTGATCACATTGGTCCAACTGCGCGCACACCACACGCACACACGCATTATAGAACATCACTGAAAAGTAGCAGCAGCTTCAACAAGGCATATTAAGTGAACCAACACACAAAAAAAGTCAACTGTGAAGGTTTTACACTGGTGACAGTTTGACCCAGCAACAGATTTATTTTTCTATCCATCAAAAGGCACTCACAGTTTCCTCTCGCCCACGGACTGAGCTACCAGCTCGTAGATCTGCGCGCCGCTGTCCCAGGTGAAGATCACGTAGAAGGCCTTTAAATCTGCAACCACCATCACCGTGTTACAAGTGAGATGTTCAGTTGTTTCTTTTAATTTTTTTTTTAATTCTGAGAACAGATTTAATATTTTATTTTTTTCCTTAAAAAAAACGTTATTTTTCTCTGTACCCCGCCAAAACCTGAAACCGCTGAAACCTTTAGACCATTGATTCTTCTTCTTCTGCTTTATCTGTTCGTGTAAGCGTGTGTGAGACTAACCGGTGGCCACCTCGCGCAGGAAAGCCGAGTCGAGCTTGATGATGGGGCTGAGCATCTGCTTGCCCTCCTGCACGGCGATGATGCTCTTGCTCTGGCACTTGAGTACCATCTTGTCGTCCTGCCTCTGCAGGAGCACCAGCAGGTCGCCCAGCAGCACGCATTGCACCTCTGAAAAGGGACACACGACCCAACCGTCATGTGCCTTTTTGCTTTTCTTTGGCCACACTCTTTCTTTGGAGTGATGAGGGCCCCCACGACCCCTCACCCCAACTGCCACACTGCGTCTTGTGTGTGACTCACCGACAGCCTTCTCCTTGGTGACCTTCCAAGTGAGGGGGCCTTCATACAGCATCTTCTTCTGCGTCAGGTCTATGTTCTAATGGGGGGGGGGGGGACAAGGGGTAGTGGTGAGACGGTCAAACATCTTGGGAAACAATAACAACAATGATTAAAATAGAAAGCTGCAGGCAGTGATGAAGGACGGACCCCCGCAAACACGCACACATAAAAACCATGCTCTCACCACATGCTATGATAGACATTACCGATACACACGGATTTTCACAATGCTCTCACATACATCAACACGCATGTACACACAAACGGATATTCACGTGGACACACAGACACGGTCACACACGCTAACATAGCCGACCTACAAACAGGGCTGGCGATGGGTCTAACTTACACACAGATGAGGATAATCACACATGGACACACACCCATGGAAATACACATAAAAAAACTCCACATGCACGCGCATACACGCTTCCAGTCGCCAGGTGGTGTTGCAGGCGCCGAGAACGTGGCCGCGTACCTTATATTCCGTATAGAGCTCATTACTGGGCTTGAGTCCTGACGTGTCCAATCGCCGCTGGTAGTCCTTGAGCGTCTGCGCACACACGTTTGAGCGTAAGTAAGCTAAACTTGACGAGCGAGTCGGTAACCGCGTCGAATGACTCACCAGAAGATTCTCCATGTCTTTGACCTCCTCGTTGACGTGGTTGAGGATCTTTCGGCAGCACTCGGCGCTCTGATGGATGCGCTCTTTCTCACCGGGATCCTCTGCCATGCACAACAACAATCAACGCAAGCGAAGAGAAAGCGCTCAACCGCACACGCCATGGAGAGGCTACAAGAAGGCACTTTTGCCAAGCAATTTCTCCTCTGGAGGTCCTCTCAAATACTACGCATGAATGCTAGTTTGGTTTGCTACGCGCACGCGCGCGCACACACGCACCTGTGTTCTTAGCGATGTTTTCCAGGAGCAGCGGATACTTGGTGAGCCTCTGCATCTCGATGGGAATGATGTCCTTCAGCTGCAGCCTCCGACACTGCGGCTTGCTCTCCGCCTCCTGTCGTCACCACGGCAGCCTTTTAGCCACACTCCCAAGATGGCCGCCAGCCGTCGCGCTCGTGAACGTGAGCCGTACCTGGATGAAGGCATTGAAGCGAGCCTCTTTCTTCTGCCTGCTTTTGATCTGGTCCAGGGCCCAGGACTGGTGACTGCAGAAGCGGGCCGTCAGCTTCTGGAACCATTCCCCTTCCGTGCCCTCAAACTTAAATGCATCCAAAAAAAAAAAAAAAAAATTAATAATATACAATATATATATCATTTTACATTCATCATTCCTTTTAAAGACAGCATCATTTGCAGTCAGCTAAGCATTGTCATCGGCGAGGTCACCGATGACAATGCTTAAAGTATCAGTTCATAGTATTGGAGCATTTTTATGAGGACCGAGTCATAGAAAAAATGCCCACTATGTGTATGATTAAATATTTGTGCGGACAATAAATCAACAATTTACTACCTATTGAAGCACATAATTACTCGAAATTTTGTGACTTTCAGATAAAACTGAAAAAGAGTGCTTTTTAACTAACAGACTCCATGTAAAATTAAATAAAAGTTTGGAGGGAGGTGGCAAAATAAATAAATGAGGTCTCACTCTGTTGAGAACAGTGGTGCTGATAGATTTGACGATAAAATTATCCTCCAGACGAAGTTTCTTCAGGTTCTCGTAGAGGTGATCTGGACAAAGAGGACAAGACCGTTTGAACTCAAGCCGGTGCGTCCCACTTCCGCTTCCTCTCAAAATAAACTAAAATTGCTCACAGTGCATTTCGATGATCTCGTCCAGATTGGGGAAGATGGCTGACAGCTCGGTGGAGGTGAGGAGCTCCTCCCGCTCCAGAGGCTTGGAGAAGACCATCTGTAGGACGCTTAGCATGCGCACGTGGGCGTGCTCTGTGGCGAACAACTCTGCGAGAAGAAATTGGGAGGAAGAAATATGAAATACTGTCAAAAAAGAAGCAGCTTCTGACACCAATTTCCTTGGATTTCCCCACAGTGAACTCCCGTTTATCGCAGGGACATTTTCCTGACCCACCCGTGATAATCTAAAATCTGGAGCATACAAAACAACAGTTGTGAAATTTGTTCGACCACTCCCACATGCTTTGTACACAAGACACTGTTGTCCGCTGTACTGGAAAGCGTCTCACCGTTGATGACCTCCTGCCTCTTGGTCTCCTTTTTGCTAAGGCTGGACAGCACCTCTGGGGAGGCCAGCTCCTTCCAGTTGGGCGGCTCCTGCTCGAACTCCAGCAGGCGCGGCTCCATCTCCTCGGGTTGGGGGGCGGGGCTGGCGGGCGACGACCCGGAGCCCTCCGAAGCAGCTGTTGTCGCTCCTTCATTGCTGGCCCAAAACGCATCAGCAAGTCAACCATCACACATTTTTCACACACAATTTGGAAATGTTCAAATCATCCCAAGCGGTTTCAACTTTATAATTTTTGTCCCAACTCCCCGCAAAAAAAGATTTTCCAATCAAAAAAAAAACAAAACGACTGTATTTATTCTTGTCCAAAACTTCTGGGGGAAGAAAAAAAAAAGTTCAACTTGTCTCTTTTGTAGAAAAGTTTTTCTTCAACCCTTTTTAGACCGAAAAAAATATTTTTTATCCTCATAATTTCTGAAACATTGTTAAGCTTTCTGAAACGTTTTTAAACATTTCTGATGTGATTTGTGTTGTTATCCCAAAGAATGCAAGTGAATGATACTTATTTGAATGCAGGCTTCTGTCCATCCCTGCTGTGCAATCTTACAAATGGGAGCCGAGTGTGGCCGCGGCTGACAGCGGCTGCAGGTCCACGTCGCTACGAGAGCGCGACTGTTTGGCCCGGGAAGAGCCGCGACGGCGTGACGGCTGGCGGGCCACGCGAGCGCTCTCGCTACGCGCGACCTTCTTACTGCCGGTGTGATGGGAGGGGGGTGGACGCAAGTGGACAAGAGGATGGGGAAAAGACGGGGAACGAGGATATCAAAATGTGGACGGGAAAATACAGGCAGAGAAATTATAAAGAGCAGCAAAGTGACATGTAGGCAGTAAGGAAAGACATCAGAAATGGCAGAGGAATGAAAAATATGATGTTAGACAATTCCACGTTCAGGCCAGGTTTCATTTTGGCCAATGAAATGCATGCATCGCCAACTCACAGTAAAACGTTGATCCATTCAACATAAAATTCAACGCAATACTTCCAAATACTTTTCATCCTAAATTGCATGAAATACCATGTACATTAATATACATTAAAAATACATATTAAAAAAAATCTGAAAACATAATTTTTGCCTTTTTTTAAAAATGTGATAATTTTTATATCATATGTTTCTGGAATATTGTTCCATCCAATATTATTTTTTTCATAGAATTTGTAAACATGATCTCTTGTTATTATTCCTTTTTTCCCCGAACAAAATTACTTTTTTTTTGGTCATGCAATGAAAAAAAATAGCATTTATTTACAGATTATTGCTATTTGCAAACAAATCTGATCCCTATCCCCTGATAATAGCAGGGGTCTACTATACTTTTTTAAAATTTAATGTTTATATTTTTTTTACATGTATTTGGTTTTTATTCTCACAAAATACTCAAGTTTTTCCAGAATCAATTTCACTTTTTTTTCTAAAAATTTGAAACGTTTCTATTTCATAGTTTTAAAACATTTAAATAAATGTAACTATTCAAGGCTCTCAAACCATTTGGAGCAAAACGTTATTTTCGAGATGAGAGAAACACATCACAAATTTCAGAGATACATGCTTCTCAATGGATGTGATAATATGTTTAATACGCTAATATCCAAATCTCCTAGAGGGATAATTTAGTTCCACAAAGCATGCAAAATATAACAGCAAAAAAAAAAAAAAAAAGTATCATCAACTCGTCATATCTGGACCCAATAATCAAGTTAATTCTAGGAAAACAATACTTAACTTGCGCTTGTGCTACTTAGCGTGTGTGTGTGTGTGTGTGTGTGTGTGTGTGTGTGTGTGTGTGTGTAGTGAAGCATTGTCCATGCCTCAGTCAAGGTGCCCACCTTGTCCTGCGTCTGTAAAAACACGGGACACCACACCGTTAACACCTCAACTAATCACACTTGCGACAAGTGCGGACTCCACGCGGTGCAAATACGGCTTGCTAGCAACACACGCAATGCACACACACGCACAACGGGGACGGGTGTCAACTGGGCTGCGTCCGCCCAGACATGCAGACATCTTCAACAGGCAAACAAAATAAGCAGGCGACAACAAACTCCACACAAAAGTGTGGAGTTCATACTTTGCTTAATCTCTAATGGAATTAACGTACGGAGGAATCACTACGGTACAATTTTTCCGATTGATTATCCAATTTTTCCTTCACAGTCATTAATATGGGCCCTAAGGTGAATCGCAAAAATCTGCGTGCGATTGGTCTGCAATGCTATATAAAATATATACATATACTTATATATATATATATATATATATATATATTTTTTTTTTTTTTTTTTAAAGCTGGGGGGGGTATATTTTTTTTTTTAAAGCTGGAGGTGGGCAAGCATTAGATTTGTAGCTGTTCCGTTTCAGCAACAAAAATGGTTGTTTTCCACTTTGTGTTTAGTGTCAAGGTCCAATCAGTGAATCACATGAATGGTTGTAACGTAAAGCACGGTCAGCTTAATACTGATTGATCTTGATTTGGTTCTGAATGAGGAGATGGGATTCAGCAGTTGCTCAGTGGAGGAGCTATCCTAGCAGGATACACAACAACCCCCCCCCCCCAACAAACCTATGAGCCTTCTCTTGTTTGACAGAACGCCTTGACGCAGCAGTTGCTCAAAATGACTACATTATATAAACAATGTAGAATTGCTTGCTTGATTGATTACATTTTCTGTGTTCAACAAGTTAAAATTTAAAAAAAAAAAAAAAAAAAAAAAAGAATTCAAAGTGGCCCCTTGCATCTTTCTATTTTTCTGCATGCAGTCATCAGAAGAAAACGTTTGGACAATCATGGCATAGAAAGACTTTATCTGACTTCACAAGTTCCACTCTCCATCGAGCAAGAAACAACCAACATCTGCGGCTCGGCTCAAGTCATCCCTTATTTGAGTCCAAACGCAAGAAGCAAATTGCTCACACTGCAACAATTCCTGACAACATTGCATCTCTGCACTACAGGGAATCACAAACAATGCGAAGAAAGCAACCAAAGTGCAAATTCAAACATTAGGAGAAGGCAAGACGAAACAAGAGATTCAAAGGATTAAAGACAGGAGGTGAAAGGCTGGAAGGGACATTGGGGGCGCGCTTTGGTTTTTCGACGGAGTGAGGGAGGCGGGCACAGCATGGCAAAAAAAAAAAAAAAAAAAGCTAGCACACAGCAGGGACAGACATCCTCAGCCTGAGGACTGACGCTTTGGCTGGAGACAGACGCCATTGAGATTCCATGCTCCGTCCTCACCTGTCTTTCTCCGGGTTCTCCTCTATGGGGGTGTCGCTGACCAAGAAGGGCTCCCCGACGCCCAGCGAGGCCCCCGGGCCTACGGGGGAGACGTCAGGCCATTCGGACAAGATGAGCGGCTCCAGACGATTGCTGGGGAGCCCTGGAATGTTTCATATTGCTATCTATTAATAAGCCTTGGATACTGAGCCACATGTTGCTTCACCAGAGACGAATCCCACTCGTGGGGACGGACGTACCATCAGGGTGCAGGGCCTCGGGGCTGTTGCTCAGGCTGGCGTTGTTTCCCGAGCCGTCGGTGATCTCCACCAAAGGCAAGGGGCCGGAGCCGCCGCCCCCAGAGCCGGATCCCAACTTCCTGCCGGGGAGTGCGGGCGCCGTCGGGTCGGCGAAGTTTCCCCGGACGGGCGTCGGACCTTTACGCTCCTGACTCCCTTTCTCCCTGTCCGCTAGAAAACAGTGGAAGAGGGCCAAGTTAGGATGTTGGGAGTGAGGAGACCACCATCATGCACCCTGTTTAGTGAAAACGAGGAAATGGGACGGGGGTTAGTTGAGGGTGCGCAACTCAGCCTACAACCAACCAAGCACTCAATCAAGTGAATAAAACCGAGTGTGATTGGGGACATGCAGACATGCTCGTGGGGTCATTAGTAGGGTCTAACTTTTGTCTACAGTGAACCCCCAGGTCATTGTTCGCGCCCCCACTTTATTTGACGTTTCAAGATATCCCATTGTTTTTGTATGCTCATTCACGTTAGCCTGTCTACAGCTTTTCACTTTTTATATTTGCATTACACAAGTTGACTTTCGTTTGCTAAAATTTTACGTTTTCAACAATGTTCTTTGAGTCCTGACGTTAGACAAAATTATACGGTGTGGTGTTTAGGGGTGTGGGGGGGGGGATATAATGTGCTTTCAGTATTATGTTCTATGTGCCCCCACTGGTCCTTTTTCGTCCATCTCAAGGGACGACCATTTTGGCCTTATATCGCCCTCTGGGGTCGGCTAAGCTTCAAGATGCTCTGAGGCTCGCATTGCGAAAATCACATCTCTCCTGTTTTCTGGGTTTGCAAGCGAGCCCGAGGGCATTTTCAAGTCAATTTTAGGGGACAAAACATTTTGCCTGGAAATCGTTTTCTTGCATTGTGGTTTATTTTTCGGGGGGCAAACTTGTTTGTGTTTTTGTAAGTGCAAGGTTGCTAACAAGATTAATATACATAAGCAATTATACAGAAAATAATGTTATCAGGAGTGCAACGGTATCCTCCATGATATAAACGGGGGTTCACTGTATAGATAAGGGGGTGAAGTGGGAGCGAGCACTCGGGAAGACTTGTACCTTCGGCTTCCATTTTAGGTTTGACCTCAGCTGTAACAGGAGAGAAACGGTCATTGACGGAACGGAACGGTTCATTAACGGGGGCCGTGGGCCAAGTAGCAATTACGTACGGTTGCCAGCAATCCAGCTTGGGATCCCGGGGAAGCCGCCTCTGGGCTTGGTCTTTGTGGACTCGTCCTTCTTGTTCTGAGGAAAGAGGATGCAATGAGAAGGAAAAGGAAGGACACGAATCGTGAAGGGCGAAAAAGGTGCTGGCCTGCCTTTACCTTGACCAGCTTACTGCGGAAGAAGCCCCCTCGGGACTTCTTGCTGTCCACCGCCCTGGTCTTAACCCCCAGGTGCTTCATGACGTAGGCCACTGCCGAAAAGATGGACTGGCTACAAAACACGCAACATTGAAAGCAGTTAACATCACATCTGGAGAGATGGGTTGGATAAGTCGATGGATAGTAGATGGGCGGGTGGGTTTATGCATGGGGGAATTAGAGATTGGGGGGTCGGGTTGGTGGAGGCGTTGATGATGGAGGGGAGGTGGCCTGATGGATCGGTGAGTGAGAAGGTGACAAAACAGTCGGGTTGAAAGGACGAGTGAATGGATGCATGGGTTGATGGATGGATGGACAGTGGATGTGTTGGGTGGTTGGTCCCTCATTACAGTAACTTAAACAACAGTTGAATAAACTGTTATTATTTATTTATTTTTATTTGGTTTCAGTCATAACGGCCTTCCAAGGGAAACGGTTACTAAAATGTGGCCCACGATAAAAATGAGTTTGACACCGCTGAGTTAATGGATGAATGGATTGGTGGCTGGATGGGGTGAGTGGTCGGATGGGTGGACGGACAGCTCAGTAGGTGGATGGTTGCCTGGATGGATGAGCTAATCGCATTTGGGAAACTTATGCTGTTTGCCAGAATAGGAGGCGTCTATTCGGGGTACGGTGTTTACGAGGTGAAGGTCTTCATTTTTAAAAATGTTAACATTTTTACATACAGCCTATTGAATATTCTTGAGCATTGGGGTAGTTTGCAAAAAGCATGTCACAGACATGTTCATCTATCATATTTATTTTTATTATTATTTTCTTTTTTGCGGAAAAAAAAAATTCTGACTATAAGTCATAAGAGCATCAAGTCTTATTTCTGTGTGTACCCCGCACATCTGGATTTAGCAACAGATGTGATGACGTTGCTGAGGAGGAGACAAAATGACTGAAATTGGAGGAGAAATCGGAAGGGCCCGCAAACAATGAAATCATTCTTGTCTCGTATAGAATGTCGTATCAATGCACACAACTTTTGTTATTGTCAACTTGCGATGCAGCTCCTTTGAAAAAAATGTCTTTTTTTTTTTTTTGCATGCATGAGGACATGAAATAATGAGCAAGGATTTTTTTTTTGTGTGTACTCTAGCTGTAATTTGACCTCAGCTAAGTTTAACAACAGCACACAAATCCTCCTCTCCAAAACGACAATGAAGTTCTGGCAAAACATATTCAACTCACCATTTCTCCTCATCTGAGACAATAGTTGGTCTGAAAAGAGAAGAAAATGCAGTTTGTTGAGCTCATTTATTATTATTTGTTTTTTCAAGCAGACTCACCTCTTGCTTTTAAGTGGCATGTTTCCTCTCTCGTGTGCGACTGAGTAATAACAACAAAATTTGTCTTTTGGGCCGGTGGAACTTAAAGCGATCGCGCCTGTCGTGATCCAAATCAAAGCGGACTGAAGTGTTGTTTTGTTCCCAGCTCAAGCTATTGAACATATTCTAATTTCCAAAAGAAAAAAAAAAGAAAAAAAAGAAAATCAAAAAAGTGACCAATGCATACAAAGCTGCACTGTAATCTGATGAACAAATGCAAAAAAAGTAACTTCAAATGCCAAACGTCGACTAAATTTTCAGGAAAGCAAAATTTGAGTGAGGTATGTGTCTCGTGTAGGATTGCGAGGTCGGAATGTTGCCGGGGGAGCCCAAACACTATTTAAGCTTTCTTTTTTTTTTTTTGGTCTGGCTGATGCAATATGAAGGCAAGACAGCGGAAACACGACACTTGTGTCTTGTTGTCAACACGAAGGGGCGGAAGGGAGGGAGGAGGGCTTTCCTTGGGATTTCCCTGTGCGAGCCAATCAAACGCTCGTTACTGCCGCCAGGAGGTGGGAGAGGGGTGAGCGGGTGCAAGCGTGCGAGGCAAAACAGACTCGCTTGTCAGATGAGGCAACCATTTGATTGTCCTTGTCAGACATTCCCCCCCCCCATTGCTACTTGTGCACGTGGGCCCCCTCCCTACGTGAATATAAGGGGGCTACAAGGATACCTGAAAGCTCCACTCTCGCCCTTTCATTTCTTTTACACAGGAGTTAGAGGGTCGCGCTGAAAAGTAAAAGATATTACACTAAAGGATTGAAGTCGTAGTGTTCGATTTTTGAGAAAAAAAACCATCACATTTTCTGGGAAATTAGTCATGCATTTTCCAGATGAATAGAAAAAAGACATTTTCAAGATTAAAAGTCTTTTTTTTTTCGATGAATAAAAGAGCAATATTTTCAAGGTTAAAGTCGCAATGTTGACAAGAATGAATTTGAAGGACCCACCCCCCCCCGCTATTTTCTGGGAAAATATTTTCGAAATTCAAAGTTGTACATTTTGATAATTAAAGTACAAATTTTCAGAGAATAAAGTTGTACATTTTCAAGAAAATTGTAATATATTTTCAAGATTAAATATCGTATTTTTTCCCGAGATTGAGGTCTCAATTTTTACAAGAATAAAGTATATTGTGAGGAAAAAAGAAAAAGCATTTTCTAGATTGAGAGTCCTAAAGTTATCCCGAGGCTCCAAAATGTTGACTAAATACTTTGCAATAAACGCCTACTCTGCTATCATTCCGTCACTTCCCCTTGTGGGAAAAAAAAAAAAGTCTTGATCCTCCTAAAATGAAGCCTTTTCTCTTTTAGGAGACTAGTGGTTGTTTTCTTTGCTAACACTCGTTTGGAAACGGTGGCCCAGCCTGCTCTGCCTCCCGCTGGCCGCATGCCAGCTCCAGAGTTTTCCTGCCAGCGTGGCACCGCATGTCGCCCGCAGCATGTAACCCCCTCCCATCTTAAATCCACTGTGAAACACGTTTCATAATGCTCGTCATGTGACCCGCTGATTGTGACCCGCTGATTGCGGCGCAAAAATTTAAGGCAACAGATTAAGGCAAAGTCTGGACTTTCATTTCTGGCTTTGTGCTATTGTTTGTTTTAAATACTATAAAAATGAAAGCGGGGTTGTTAATCCAAAGTAGGAGATTTTTCGCCTCATGAGCAAGTACACGTGCCACTGAAGTGATTTGTTTTTATTCTCCATATCAAATCATCTAGTGAGTACAGTGGTGCCTTGAGATACGAGTGGCTTGACTCGTTAGGATGATTTTTTTTTTTGCAGCAACACTTGTGGGGTAACGAAAACTGATTTGAACCGGAAAATCAGTTTGATTCAAGCAAATGGAATCGCGTTTAAAATGGACTATCCTCCATTCGTATCGCCCGACACTTATGAATTGGTCTCATATCAGAGACGCACAGTGTCTTGGGTTTTGGAGAGTCTTTACCGTATTGTACATCATGTATCAAATAGGTACTGTATCAAATTGTCTTTTATTGGAGAGATGCCCCGAAGCAACATATACAGAAAATAAATGCCATTACTCAGTCAGATATTATTTATTCTCTGTGAAGAAAAACTAATATTAGTGCTGTACTGATAAGCTGGGAGGAGTTGAAACATCTCAACATACAGTATGATGGGCGCACCAGAAGTAGCAGCACAGTGGTCATTCAGTTGATGCAGTCAAACAACTTTTGATTCTTTTTAATTGCAGTTAATTATGCTTACTATGGTGAATTTGGATCAAGTACAGTATTAGAGATTGCGATTTTCCCGTTACTTAAATTACACATGACATTTTTTTGGGGGGGGTGGGGTATTTTTGGGGTATTGCTTTTTTGAAGACTGAAAGGGATTTGTGGCACTCACTGCGTCTCAGACATCTTGTCCAGCAGGTTCTCGGCGACCGACTTCTCCTTCATTTCCAAGGGGATGCGGTCGGTGGGGTAGTGGCTCTCCACATCGATCAGCTCCGCCTCGTTGGGCGTCATCCCCATCTTGCGCTTTTTCCGGAAGTCCTCCAGCTGCTTGGCCACCTCGGCTGCCTGCTCCAACTGGACCTCGTACGCAAAGCGTCTTTGGACGTCTTCCGACAGCATGTCCAGGCGCATCCGGTCTGAGGCGGAGTCGGCACATTGTTTGCGATATTTAAAAAAAAATAATAATAATAAAAAGAATTTACACAAATGAGCGCTGCTTACCCAGTTCAGTGGCTATGACAGGAGGTACTGTGACTCTGAGGATCTGCAATGACAACACAGTTGGCAGTGACTCAACATGACCACAAGGGGTCTCTTCAACACTACAAATGACCTTTGAGTTGTCACTAGGTGAAGGTTGAAGTCCAATCAGGAAAAGAATGGTAGTTGAAAAAAAGAACAAGCCTGGTTTTCTCACGATCCTAACAGGAAGTTGTCAGGTCTCATAGATATACCGCATGTGCATAAAGGTGAAGCTAACTCTACTGCACTTTAAAGGGAACATGTACTGGAAAATGTCATTTTTTTTATTGCAAGAATACACACAGTGGTACCCTGATTGACAAATTTAATTCAGTCTGTGATTCAGCTCTTAACTCAATTTATTTATTCCCCCCACATTGAAATTAATTGTATGAATGCCATTAATCCGTTCAGAACCACCCCCCCTAAAAAAAAAAAAGAAAAAAAAAAAAGATTTTTTCTACGTTTCAATTAAGAAAATTGTATGGCTAAGCAAAGTGACATCATGTCCTCAAATGTGATGTTGTTTTTATAATAGTCTGACATTTTTCATTGTACTTAGTTTTTATTTCATTTTGACTTTTGCTTTTTCAATTCATTTAGTTTTTTTAGGAGCAGGTTTGTTTTTTTATTAGTTTTTCTTGTTATGAAAAGGTTCTGTTTTAGATAAGTTTTTATTAGTTTTAGTTTTAGTTTTTTAATACATGGAGGATTTGTCGAATGCCTGTTAAAAAAAAAAAAAAAAAAGTAAAAACCGGTAAGTATTGCGTCATAATGTAAACTACAATTCTCAAACGACTGTTTGAGCTTCTTTCTTCTTTGTGGATGTGCTGCAACACAAAAATTAAGGCATTTAAAATCAAACTCGAAAGCTCACGTATGATGTTAATTTGCAAGGATGAAAACTAAAGATATTTTGGCAATAATTTATATAGCTTAATTAATTTTATAAACACATCATGACTTTTCAGAAGTTTATTTTTTTTCCCCTTAATTCTCGAACCAATTTTTTTTTCTCAAATTTTAGTTTTAGTTCTTTCAGGAGTATTCGTTGCCGATAATAACTTTGTACCTCACAGGAGCTTAGTTCGGCGAGCGACAAAGGATCCCGAATCCTTTTCCTACTTACTGCACCCTTGTCCAAGAAGGTGTTGTGGAACTCCACAAACTGCTTCTTGGTTTCTTTGGCATTGAGGTTCTTCAGGAGGTCGGCGTGGAGATAACAAAGCTGAGAGAGGACACACGGTGACGATGGTTTGTGTGGATTGTGGAAACACATTCAAAACGCATGAACACGAGTTACGATGACAAAGCATTCCACTAAACCAGCGTGTCTTCACGTTAGCCACCGTGAGAAAGGGGAAGTGGTGCGTTTCAAGGAGCCAGGGTGTCGGAGCGAATGGGAGTGTTACTGGTGCGTTTGCAAGCGTCTGTGGCAAAAAAAAAAAAAAAGTGCACCAAAGGAGGGTGGTGTATTCCTGTGCGAATAGATAACTGCATGCCAGCGGGCAACAGCTGTAGTTTGTTATCATTTACGCGCAGACATTGAAGAGTTCTTGGGCCGGTTGAAATCATCACTCATTAGATGATTAGAATGGTTTTAAATTGGAGGGAACATTTGTGTTAAGAAAGTTGAAAACATGAAAAAAAAAATAAAAAACACCTGACGAGGCAAGTCAAAAAACAATTACAAATCATGACTCAAATTGAGGTAAAATTTATCAAAATTGATGGAAAATTTGTTTTTAAAAAAATTGTGGCGAAAGTTGAGGTGAAATTTGTCGAAATTTTAGTTGAAATTTGTAATAATTGATGGTACAATTACAAAATGGAAATCGTAAAATTATTCAAAGGTGTAGAAATTACCATTAGTGTGGCATTTGTAGAAATCTTGTAATATGGAAAATGTTTCAGAATGGGTGCAAATAGTTTCATTTGTAAAGAAAAAAAAAATCTAAATCTGGAAAAAAAACAAAAAAATGTTCATAAACTGTATCCACCCGCTTCTAAATCTGAAGCCAAAAGTGAAAGTGAGCATAGCGTGGTGGCGTCTCACCAGCGGCGCCGGGTCAAACTGGAGGATGACGTGCTGCATGAAGACCAGCAGGTGGGCGGGCCGCTCCTTCAGCATTTCAATGCTGCTGAAAATGCACTGCTCGTCCACCACCTCGTTCAGGTCGTTCTCAAAATCCTCGTCCTCGGCCCCGATGATATTCATGGCTGCGTCCGAGCACTGAGCCCTAAACGCGCCCTGCCACACACACACACACACACACACACACACACACACACACACACACACACACACACACACACACACATACATTAGGAGTGAACCTACAAAACTGTGGTGTTGAAAGGGCTGTGATGCAAAAATTAGGGTGCACATAACTTTTGTACTGTTGCACCAGAGAAAAAAAGTTGGATGCACCAGTGCAAAAAGACCTGAAATAATATCAATATTTAGTCGCTACTTTTTTTTAGTTCATCTAGTGCAAGGGTGGATAATCCATCCGGCCATCCATCCATTTTCTGATCCGCGTTATCCTCCCAGGGGTCGCGGGGCGTGCTGGAGCCTATCCCAGCCGTCTTCAGGCAGTAGGCAGGGGACACCCTGAGCCGGTTGCCAGCCAGTCACAGAGCACACAGAGACAAACAACCAACCACGCTCACACTCACACCTAGGGACAATTTCGAGTGTCCAATCAGCCTGCCATGCATGTTTTTAGAATGTGGGAGGAAACCGGAGTACCCTGAGAAAACCCACGCAGGCATGGGGAGAACATGCAAACTCCACACAGGAAGGTCGGAGCCGGGTTTGAACTCACGACCTCTGCACTGCGAAGTCGACGCGCTAACCACTCGTCACCGGGCCGCCCCAGAGTGGATAAATGAGGTAATATTGCATACAGTAAAAAAACTAGCTTGGTGAGATCAGTGGCGAGAGAAAGAGCTGAAACTGCTGGCCCTGCCGCAGTTACTTCAAAAGCTTGGGCGGCATGGGTCCAACCCAAAGGTTGTGGGTTTCATCCTCAACCCCCGGTGATGATGTCTGAACCCTC